CAGTGTTTTCGACTAAGTGGCTACTAAAAAAGACTGGACATACCCCATATTGAATACCCTGGGTTGTCTACTTTAAAAAAAATTATGTACATGTGGGGTGTTATTCAGAGATTTATGACAGATAATAGTGTTACAATGTCACTATTGATAAATTTGAAAAATTAATGTTTTGAAACTGCAATATCCTACTTGTACCTATAGTCCTATAACATGCAAAAAAAGCAAAAAAGCATGTAAACACTGGGTATTTTTAAACTCAGGACAAAATTTTGAATCTATTTAGCAGTTTTTTTCATTCGCTTTTGTAGATGAGTAAAAGATTTTTCAAGTAAAAGTCAAAAAACATGTATTTTTTTCAATTTTTCATCATATATTTTTATTTTTTTTAAATTAAAATACATGAGATTATATAAATAATGGTATGTAAAGAAAGCCCCTTTTGTCCTGAAAAAAGCAATATATAATTTGTATGGGAACAGTAAATGAGAGAGCGGAAAATTACAGCCAAACACAAACACCACAAAAGTGTAAAAATATGCCTGGTCGCAAATGTACAACATCGCAAAAACAGTCCAGTCCTTAAGGGGTTAAACCAATCCCCCCGGCAATTAGTAAATGGAATTCTGATTTGCAAAAGGATATAACTATGAAAGAATGGAATAATTCCCTTAATACATTATACAAAGCTTGTCATTGCTTAAATATACAGGATGGTATAGAACACCTCAAAAGATTGCAAAAATGTATCCTACATCGCCATCTAATTTAGACCCATTATTCTTCATATTTTAATGGCTGTGAAAACCACAAAAGCCAGAAATTGGAAATCCACCAATATAGATAATTGGTGTAAGATTTATGCCCAAAGTATTGTACAATGTAAAATGGAAAGAGCCATTGCCAATTTTGCACCAAAAATGGGCAACCACTATAGTTACTGGGACAGATGGGTAAAGAAAATTGGATCTAAATAGTAAATTTCTTATGTGTTTAGTTAATTATCTCTTCGTGTCTTTCTTGTGCTAGATATTTGTTTTACTTTTTTTCCTTTTGCTAAAGAGTTTCTCCCGAGTATGATATTATTGGATAAGCCCCTTTCCCCCACCTCAAACCTAATACTGCTGATTTTTTTTTTTTTTTTTACTGTGAACCAAGCAAATGTCTGTTTAAGTTAGTCTGTAAGTGTTTTTAGACGTTAGATGTTCAATAAAACAGAAGAAGTGGTTAGTTAATAAAAAGGGAAAGAAGAGGGGGAAAGGAAGGAGTAAAGGAACGGTAGAAAGAGAGAAAGGAAAAAGAATGCTATATATATATATATTTGTATAAATGATAAAGAGAGAGAAAAGAGAACTGAATAATACATATGATGACTTGGTATTTGATTCCCTATATTATTATTATTATTATTATTATTATTATTATTATTACACAAGGTATGAAATGACAAATACCACATTCTGATGTATAAAAAAAAACAAAACAAAAAAAAATAACCAACAAACATTTTCATTGTTCATTCGGTTCTGGCTGCAGATAGTCCCTTCAAATGGCAGTCATTAGCCTGCTTATTTAAGTGACACTATAGGCACTCTGATCACTTCAGCTCATTGAAGTGGTTTGGGTGCAGTATCCCAGGTCACTTGACCCTGCAAAGGCAATTATTGCCCTTTTTAAGAAACCTCAATAATTAACTACACCTCTAGTAGCCACCTACCAGACAGCCACTAGAGGGACTTCCAGGTTTTTAGACAATAGTTGCCCAACTGACGCTGGATGTCCTCACGCTATGCATGGGGACATCCAGCATAACCCAAAACTCTGAATGAAAGCATTACACAGGCATTCCTTTTAGAAATCCCAAATGCTAACGAATGCGCGTTGGGTCTCCCTCGCTGGTTGACTGAGGCAGAGCCCAAGCCAGCGCTGAGGGACATTGGTGCTGGACTCTGGTAAGCATCAGATGGGGTTTTTAACCCCCTCTACATAGCGTGTGGGGGCCACCAGATAGGGGGGCACTAAAGGGAACTATCGTGGCATAAAAATAACTGTTTTCCTGGCACTATAGTTTCTCTTTAAACAAACAAACCCCAGTATGTTGTAAATATTAAGCAAATTCAATTGAAATTATTGGTGTGAACATCATGAATTAGATAGATACAAATATTAAAAAAAACATAGAATTACATATGTTTACTTACCCCGAGGTATTTTGTAACCGGTCTCCCCTGGCTTCCTGAGGTTTCTTAGTATATGGTCAGAATAAATGTTGATAAACATTCCACAAAAAAATATTAAAATACCTGTATAAATGTCCAAATAGGAGAAAAAAAATATTGTGTTGTGTGTAAAATAAAAAAACAAAAACAATGAATAGGATTCATGCAAAATTAAAAAAATAAAATAAAAAAAGTATACAACAAACTCGTTTTCCTGGCACTATATAATCTTTAGGTCCCCCCCACCCTTAGGGCCACCCGTACCGCTGGGCTGAAGGTTTTAAAACCCCTTTAGTTACTTACTTTAATCCAGCTCCGGTGACCTCTCCTGCCCCTCCAATGGCAGCTCCCGAGTGGAGCCAAATGCACAGCCATAGCCGCGAGCACATTAAAAACGCCCAAAGGAAAGCATTTCTCAATGCTTTCCTATGAAAGTTCTGCGTGCTCAACGCGATTTTCGCATTGATTACGGGGAAGCGCCTCTAGCAGCTGTCAGGAAGGCAGCCACTAGAGGCTGGATTAACCCTACAATGTAAACATAGCAGTTTCCAACGGGTGAGGGACAATAGGCACCCACCCCCCTTTTGTCACTGAGGGCCCCCACCCAACCGCTTATTATTTTTCTAGATGCCCCACCATGGGGGGGATCTGTACTAGTTCCCCCAGTAATTGATTCGGAGCTTATTTTTTAGAACAGTGAGCAGTCACAGGCTGCTCACTTTTTAGTACAGATGTCCCTACTTGTGGGTATAGAGAGTAGGGGCATTCAGGAGATTTTAAATCTGGAGGGCTTAGGAAGTGGCAGGGAGCACAGCTCTTATGTTTTTACATTTTACAAGCAGGGAGCTGGGCGCCAGTAGCTCCCTCCTTGTAATAAACTAAACAAAACAAAAACACAGACATTCTGTGTTTGTTTGAAATTTCTATTAATTTGTCTCTCTGATGAACGAATGGACAAAGTTTCCATCCTAATTTCGGAAAATAGCGAATGCTCAAGTGTTTAACTGAGCATGCATGGGAATTTAATAATGCTATCTAGTGTGGGCAGTTGATGTGTCCCACGGGGACTTCATCTGCCCACACAAAGATGGCGGTGCCCAGGACCTAGGTCCGGGCATAAATTAAAGTTATTTAAAAAGGTAAATTGGAGAACCTAGGGGAATTTGGGGGGTGACTAGGAGTACAATAATATGTATTGGAGTCGGAAGGGGGGGTGGGGGGTTTAAAAAAAAACAAAAAAAAAACCAACAAACAAAAAAAAACCAGACAGTGCCGATTTCAGTGATTTTCAATGTGCACACTCACAAAACACATTAGGAGACAGAGACCTAATTCATTTCCTTACTGAACAGACATATATCAACATAATATAATATTCTATATCATGAAACCAACATAGTTTCTCACCTGTTATGAAGTGGGGTTCTCTAAACCATTCTCCTTTCAAAAGAGAATGTCTGCATATGTAGCTACTTTGCATGTACCCATTGTAGCAGCAGAAGATAAAGGCAAGCATAAAAGATACAACTGGGGTAGGCTTTCCTCCACGGATCAGAAATGGGAAAATAAGGGTGCTGTGAAAACAAATGTGCTTTTAAAATATGCAATACACTTAAAACAAAGCATTAGTATATCACGCAAAGAATACTGTACCTAGAAAAAAAAAAAAAAAAAATAGAGCAGAGGCGAGTTGGTGAACTTAAATGCAGCGAGTGCAAAGACAATAGGGTATGCAACAGGCAGAGCGTGTACAGAGACAGTGAGGCATTCCACAGGTACAGAGTGCATAAAGTGCGATATGCGACAGGCAAAGAGGAAAAAAAAAAAAAAGAAGTATACAATGGCGCTTAAATTATTTTTTTTTTTAACCCCTTAAGGATCAAAGTTCTGGAATAAAAGGGAATCATGACATGTCACACAGGTCATGTGTCCTTAAGGGATTAAAGTGAAACAGTCCAAAATAATTCTTATAAGCTGCTGAGCACTATTAAGTGCATTTCATAACATACAAATAAAAGCAAAAATGTAAAATATAGAGGAACGCTTTAATTAAATCCAAACCTTGCTCACAAAGTGCTGGGATATAGATATATATATATATATATTGAACCAAACTGCACAGTGCAAAATGATTATCAAAGAGCAAAACACAGCAAATAAATACATATATAGCTTTTTAAGAATACGTGCAAATTGGTAACGCATATAAAATGGTAAAACAAGCAACAAGTTAGTGTAATCTGTGTATAACACAATATTTTACACATAAAGGTCAATAAATATTTCACCTTACACTGTTAACAAATAAAAAGTGCACTTTGCACACGAGAACTATAGCCGTGTTTTGCCCTCTGATATTTATTTAGCCCGGTGCACTTTGATTCTATCCCAGCACTGTGTGACCGGGATTTAAAGTTACACTATTCATTTCATGCTGTCACAGGGTGGCCCTGTCCCCGGTATTATTATTAGAGGGTGTCCCTGTCCCCAGTATTATTATTATTAGAGGGTGGCTCTGTCCCCGGTATTATTATTATTAGAGGGTGGCTCTGTCCCCGGTATTATTATTATTAGAGGGTGGCTCTGTCCCCGGTATTATTATTATTAGAGGGTGGCTCTGTCCCCAGTATTATTATTATTAGAGGGTGGCCCTGTCCCCGGTATTATTATTATTAGAGGGTGGCCCTGTCCCCGGTATTATTATTATTAGAGGGTGGCCCTGTCCCTGGTATTATTATTATTATTAGAGGGTGGCTCTGTCCCCGGTATTATTATTAGAGGGTGGCCCTGTCCCCGGTATTATTATTATTAGAGGGTGGCCCTGTCCCCGGTATTATTATTATTAGAGGGTGGCTCTGTCCCCGGTATTATTATTATTAGAGGGTGGTCCTGTCCCCGGTATTATTATTATTATAGGGTGGCTCTGTCCCCGGTATTATTATTATTAGAGGGTGGTCCTGTCCCCGGTATTATTATTATTAGAGGGTGGCTCTGTCCCCGGTATTATTATTATTAGAGGGTGGCTCTGTCCCCGGTATTATTATTAGAGGGTGGCTCTGTCCCCGGTATTATTATTATAGGGTGGCTCTGTCCCCGGTATTATTATTATTAGAGGGGTGGCCCTGTCCCCTGTATTATATTATAGGTGGCCCTGTCCCCGTATACGGCTAGAGGGTGGCGCTGTCCCCGGTATTATTATTATTAGAGGGTGGCTCTGTCCCCGGTATTAATATTATTATTAGAGGGTGGCTCTGTCCCCGGTATTATTATTAGAGGGTGGCTCTGTCCCCGGTATTATTATTAGAGGGTGGCTCTGTCCCCGGTATTAATATTATTATTAGAGGGTGGCTCTGTCCCCGGTATTAATATTATTATTATAGGGTGGCTCTGTCCCCGGTATTAATATTATTATTATAGGGTGGCTCTGTCCCCGGTATTATTATTATAGGGTGGCTCTGTCCCCGGTATTATTATTATTATTAGAGGGTGGCTCTGTCCCCGGTATTATTATTATTATTAGAGGGTGGCTCTGTCCCCGGTATTATTATTATTAGAGGGTGGCTCTGTCCCCGGTATTATTATTATTAGAGGGTGGCTCTGTCCCCGGTATTATTATTATTATTATAGGGTGGCTCTGTCCCCGGTATTATTATTAGAGGGTGGCCCTGTCCCCGGTATTATTATTATAGGGTGGCCCTGTCCCCGGTATTATTATTATTAGAGGGTGGCTCTGTCCCCGGTATTATTATTATTAGAGGGTGGCCCTGTCCTTGGTATTATTATTATTATAGGGTGGCCCTGTCCCCGGTATTATTATTATTAGAGGGTGGCTCTGTCCCCGGTATTATTATTATTATAGGGTGGCTCTGTCCCCGGTATTATTATTAGAGGGTGGCCCTGTCCCCGGTATTATTATTATTATTATTATTATAGGGTGGCTCTGTCCCCGGTATTATTATTAGAGGGTGGCCCTGTCCCTGGTATTATTATTATTATTAGAGGGTGGCTCTGTCCCCAGTATTATTATTATTATTATTATAGGGTGGCTCTGTCCCCGGTATTATTATTAGAGGGTGGCCCTGTCCCCGGTATTATTATTAGAGGCGTGGCTCTGTCCCCGCACATAGTTAGAGGGTGGCTCTGTCCTCGGTATTGGCTATTAGAGGGTGGCTCTGTCCCCTCGCATGGCTATTAGAGGGTGGCTCTGTCCCCGTATTATCATTAGAGGGTGGCCCTGTCCCCTCCGTATATTATTATTATTATAGGTGGTTTAACTCCTCGTATTATTATATTATTAGAGGGTGGTCTCAACTCCCCGAATTATTATTATTATTAGAGGGTGGCTCTGTCCCCGGTATTATTATTATTAGAGGGTGGTCCTGTCCCCGGTATTATTATTATTATAGGGTGGCCCTCCCCCCGGTATTATTATTATTAGAGGGTGGTCCTGTCCCCGGTATTATTATTATTAGAGGGTGGCTCTGTCCCCGGTATTATTATTATTAGAGGGTGGCTCTGTCCCCGGTATTATTATTATTATTAGAGGGTGGCTCTGTCCCCGGTATTATTATTAGAGGGTGGCTCTGTCCCCGGTATTATTATTAGAGGGTGGCTCTGTCCCCGGTATTAATATTATTATTAGAGGGTGGCTCTGTCCCCGGTATTAATATTATTATTATAGGGTGGCTCTGTCCCCGGTATTAATATTATTATTATAGGGTGGCTCTGTCCCCGGTATTATTATTATAGGGTGGCTCTGTCCCCGGTATTATTATTATTATTAGAGGGTGGCTCTGTCCCCGGTATTATTATTATTATTAGAGGGTGGCTCTGTCCCCGGTATTATTATTATTAGAGGGTGGCTCTGTCCCCGGTATTATTATTATTAGAGGGTGGCCCTGTCCCCAGTATTATTATTATTAGAGGGTGGCCCTGTCCCCGGTATAGCGGTCCCCGGTATTATTATTATTATGGGGTGGCCCTGTCCCCGGTATTATTATAGGGTGGCTCTGTCCCTGGTATTAGAGGGTGGTTCTGTCCCCGGTATTATTATTATTAGAGGGTGGCTCTGTCCCCGGTATTATTATTATTAGAGGGTGGCTCTGTCCCCGGTATTATTATTATTATTAGAGGGTGGCTCTGTCCCCAGTATTATTATTATTATTAGAGGGTGGCTCTGTCCCCGGTATTATTATTATTAGAGGGTGGCTCTGTCCCCGGTATTATTAGAGGGTGGCTCTGTCCCCGGTATTATTATTATTATTAGAGGGTGGCTCTGTCCCCAGTATTATTATTATTATTATTAGAGGGTGGCTCTGTCCCCGGTATTATTATTATTATTATTAGAGGGTGGCCCTGTCCCCGGTATTATTATTATTATTAGAGGGTGGCCCTGTCCCCGGTATTATTATTATTATTAGAGGGTGGCCCTGTCCCCGGTATTATTATTATTAGATGGTGGCCCTGTCCCCGGTATTATTATTATCATTAGAGGGTGGCCCTGTCCCCGGTATTATTATTATTATTACTATCGCCATTTATATAGCGCCCACAGATTCCGTATGGCTTTGCTGTGTGAGCCCCGCTGTCGCACCGTTGCAGGTAGTGTAGGGTGAATGCCCCCAGGAGGAGCAGGTTGCCGGCGCCGAGCTCCGGGTGCTGCGCTAGGAAATAAACTGGGAGAGCGAAGGCGGGGAGCTCCTGGAGGAACCATGCCCAGCGAGCAGGGACCGGGCGGCCGAAGGAGGAGCTGGAGTACCGGCCGTAAGGCATGTTGATAAAGCGCAGGAAACAGAACGAGAGCAGCCCCATCAGGATCATCAGCACGGCCAACACATCGAGCAGGCTGCGCTCATCCTCCGGCCATCCCGGGACGGACATGGCTTCCCCTCAATGGCACAACACACACAGCAAGCATGGCCCCAGATCGGACTGAGAGCGTTACCAGACAACAGCCAATCAGGACTGGGAGGGCGGGGCTCGCTGTCACTTTGTAACCAATCAGCAGATCCCATGCTGCTGGACTTTCCCACCGAGCCGAACTCCTAAACACCTAAAGTAACAATTGGCAAACTTCCGGTCTGACCAATCGGAGAGCGCAGACAGATAGAGGCGTTCTGATTGGTCATTGTTACTGGCCATGGGGGGGGGGGCGGGAAGCATACATTGGGGGAATGGCTTGGCTAGTCATGTGACCAGGTCTTCTTACTGATGGCTGTTGGTTAGTGCTAGTCAAAATTTATATTTGTAGCTTTAAAGGTGGGATAACACCATGGAAAACGTAGTTCCAAATTAGACGCGGATCTATTGTCGGTGATTTGTATTCATGTATCTGTCTGATGCACACGGTGAAATTTGACAGCACAGTAATTCTGTACTTGAGCCGTTGGCCCAAAATAAAGATGGCCGCTGGATTCTTCTACGCTTTGTTTTACGTCACTACGCATTTTTTTTTTTGCGTTGTGTGTAGATCCTCGCCGCCATCCGTATTTCGTTTGACGTCATCATTGTGCTCAGGTATTGAAATGCTCCTGCTTCACACGTGTTAAGCCGTTTGCAGCGCAGATTGCTGCTCCTTGTACGTGTTTGTCTGGTGTACGTTGCGCATACATCCCTTTACAGAAAGTTCCATAATAAGAGCTAATTTGTAGCTGGTTTGCAGTGTTTCCTCTCTTGCACAGAGCAGAGCACACAGTTTGTATGTGATATGCCGCCTGTAATGAATCCTGTGCACTGAGTAAAGAAACCTGGCGCAGGCATTGCTATTATTCACCTTGGTTTTAGGATAGGCACACGACATATATTTAAACTAATTAAGGATAGAGTTATTATGTAGTATTTAAAGTCATAGAGGTTTATGTACTGAAAACAAAATGGTTGTGAATTGCAAAAATATCTCTGAGTTGAATTTTCCAATAGCAACTTTTTTCTTTTCAATTACATTTTCTGTTCACTGCAATTTAGCGAATAAACCACATGTATTGAAGAACCGTGTGATATCTGACTATTCCATATCCTTTTGTACCCTACATTGCTTGGGGAAGGACCTTCTTTTGCTCTTCTATATTAACTATTACATTTTTGTATTCATACAAAAAAGCTGTACGAAAGGCTGTTTTTTGCTTTATTATGAACTGCATCTTGTATTAATAAATGTGTGGGTTTTTTTTTTGTTTAACTTTGAAGTAATTTTTTCATAATGCTCTTTAGTGCCCACCTTGCAAGCTTTGGTGACACTGCACATCCAGCAGTCATTTTCCTGCCACGCCGTTCGTTTTTATCACTCTGTGGCATAATGGGGCGCAAGAATAGACGAAACCGACAAAGAAACCAACGGAGTGCAGTAGAACGAAGTCCTGCTGAAGAGGAGGCAAGGCGGAAAGCTAGAGAACAGGCGGTGAGTTCTTAATATAACAAGGATATGTAAAGTACTTTAGAAAATTTTTACATGGACACAAAAGACAGGAATTGCTCCCCCCTTTTTAAAAGAACTCTCCCATTAGTATAACATCTAATCAATTAAAGTGAAACTATAGGCACTCAGATCACTTCAGCTGATTGAAGTGGTCTGGGTGCACTGTCCCATGTCCCTTAACTCTGCAAAGGTAATTATTGCAGTTTTTAAGAAGCTGTAATTATCTTTCAGGGTTAACTCCACCATTAGTGTCTACCTGACGCCACTAGAAGGGACTTCAGGGGTACTTTGTCCAGCGTCACCCTAAACACCATAGGAAAGCATTGTAACTACACGGTTTAGTTGGCACAGCTGAAGTTTAAAGTCTAGTTGACGTAGTTATGCTTAAGAAAAAAATATTATCTGTAATAATGTTAAAGTAATCATTTTGCTATCATTATGTGTTATGTCGCAATTTTTTTTTTTTTTTGTTAGAGGCAAAGAGTCTACCAACTTTTATTTTGTCGCATATTTGTAATACATTCAGTACAATCTCTGTACCTACTGGATTTAACTGATGGTTTTTGGTTAAAATTGCTGATTATATTCTGAATCTATTTAAGGCCTGGGAAGGTGGCTACCCTGAAATCATTAAAGAAAACAAGCTCTTTGAACATTATTATCAGGAACTGAAAATTGTTCCCGATGGAGAATGGGAACAATTCATGTCTGCACTTCGAGAGCCGTTGCCATCAACAATAAGAATCACTGGATACAAAAGGTACACTTGGATTGGAGAAAGTGTAAGCAAGAAATGTTGTCATTTAACATGCTGTTAATTATATTACTATTTCTTCCTAACATATGGTGGCAGTTCACTAGGGATGTGCTCTTCCCTGGGACAGGCATATGAAAGAAATTAACATAACAAGATCCTCCCCTACTAGGTATAAAGTACTAACCTTTATCCCACAGTTTGTTTTGTTTTGTTTTTGTTTTTTTTCTTCCAATAGGAACGGACGAGCATCTAATGAGTGGAAGACTGGTGAGGCACACGGGGTAATGCCTGGGGGATCTGGCCCGATGGCCTCCCGGGTGGAGAGCTGAACGGCCACGCTCCAACCTGCAGGATTACAGAGCATGTAGGAGCTGCTTGTTTTATGCAGAGTGTGGCTACCAGTGGAACAAGAGGGCGGCCCCTAGAGGCAGCCAATCACTGCCCGAATAGGACACGTGCACACTGCGGTGGAACGTACGCCATGGAGTTTGTGCATTCCACCAAAGTTCAGATCGTGTGACTGCGCATGTGCGATCGGAACTTCCAAAGTTTGGCACAAGATTTGAAAAGGTTTATTATAAAAAGCTGTGCAGGTCCTACTGAGAGCATGGAGGCTACTCAGAACAGATCTCCCGTGTCACCAGCCCCCCTCCCCATGGGTCTCTGAGGTTTTAGAGGTGAGATTTATTTTGTCTCAATCTTTAAAATCTCTGCTAAGGTTTTTATTTGGAAAAATTTAAAGGCATTTTCTTTTTAAATATGTTTAGTCCTGTCTGTCCTGAAAATATGGAAAAAGACAAAGTGACCGCTCCAGTGCCCAAAAAAAGCTGCATATAAGACAAAGCATTTGGTATGTAGCAAATGTTCTACACCACTACCAGATGGCACAAATCAAAAAAATCTGCAATCGCTGTTCATCCTGAACGCTGGAAAGATCTAAGCAACAGTACATTACTTTTTTTTTTTATATATCTTTTTCAGGACAATCTAGCTCAAACTTTTGAATCCTTTAAAGAAGCTTCAAAAGCAAATCCCTCTCCTCCAGTTAAATTGCCAACTTCTAAAAGACATAAACGGAAAAGATCCTCATCTAGATCTGAGTTGTCTCCTGTTGAATGTTCTTGTGATTCTTCAGTGGAATTTGTGTTTCCACACAAAGAATTAAAAAGATTAATTAAAGAAGTTATTATTGCTTTACCTGAGGATATACCAAAGGAAGACACTAAAAAGGCCCTGCCAAGGCGGCAACATATTCTGGAATTCATGAATAGGAAGTGGAAAAATCCAGAGAAGAGGGTGTTGATCTTCACACATTTCTAACAAGTTTTCAAGGTACAAGGAGAAGACAGATGGGAAGATTTGCCAATTGAAGATGTGCAAGTAGCACAACTGTCTAAAAAACAAAACAAAAAAAAAAAACACAATTTCAATTGCGTAAGTGTCTGGCTGGAAATACTTAGTTGATAAAAGGGCTGAAACCTCTTGCAGACGGGCTTACCAAGCTGCAGGTTTCCAAAGTAAAGCAGCGATGGCAGGAGCTTCAGTAGCCAAAGCTCAGACCCACTGGATTCCGGCATTAGATGATTACGTAGTAGATCAAAAAGATAAGGATATGGTACACCTGTTCAGAAACCTACAATTGTCTGATTACCTTCTAGATATAACAGAAATAATAAAACTCTTGGCTCGTATCATGGAATTACCTCTGTTTCCTGTAGAGCCCTCTGGCTAAAAGCCTGGACAGTTGATACAGCTTCTAAGGCAGCAATCTGAACTTCCTTTGAAAAGTATCACCATTAGAAAAACTGACTCGATAGATGTCGGAAACTAAGAAGGTGCTTCCTCAAACAGGAAGTATTCCTGGAAGCCTGGATATAAGCATTTCCAGTATAAAAGCCATAGAGGTTATCCAGAAAGATCATGTTTTTTTCTCGTAGACAACAGTTTCAAGATTTGATGATCGCAAACACATCAGAACAGATAGAGCCAAAAGATTCTGATGCCATAAAAGTGGGAGGAAGGATACAAAATTTTGTACACAGATGGAGAGCCACCACGTCAAATCCATGGATTTTACACCTTGGTAGCAAATAGATCAGATTCTCGGAACCTCCAAAGCTGAATTTCCTAGTATCTTCCTACCAATCGAATTTAAAAAAACAAGCTTTTGTTCTCAGCCACTGTGACCCTCTCGTTGGTTTCTGGTTTCGAAACCAGATTTGTCATTCAGTCCCATTCTAGATCTGAAGGGTATAAACTTCCATACCAACACTAAAGAGTGGAAACCATTGCATCCGTGACACATATACTACAAAGATTTTATGGCAACTCTGGATTTAAGACGCGTATCTGCACTTTCCTAGGCACAAGGTATCAAGGAAATACATAAGAATTGCCATAAAAAGGGGTTCCAAGACTCATAATTATCAATTCAAACACTTACCATTCAGTCTCTCCTCGGCGCCAAGGATCTTTACAACAGTATTGGCACCTATCACCGAGGATATGAGGGAAAAAGGTATATCATTATATCATTCCTTACTTAAACGACTGGTTTATCAAGGCAAAATCAAGAAACGCTCTGGTAAAAGATGTGAATTTTTCTCTCTGTATCTTAAAGGAGCACGTTTGGGTCATCAACTAGAGAATTCACAACTTCGTCCAACAAGGATCATCCAATTTCTAGGTTTTATTATCAAGTCAATACACCTACCACATTTTGAAGGAAAAAAAAAATCACAGTATCGAACAGAGATCTTCAAAGAGAAACAAGATGCACTATAAGAAGAACCATTAGAGTTCTGGGACATCTCACATCTGCAGTTCCAGCAGTAAAATGTGCCAGAGCGGAATCAAGGCCATTACAGTGGGTAATCCTGACACAATGATCCAAAAAAGATTTGGATTTTATAATAGAAATTTCAGAGCCAGTAAAAGATCAGCTATACTGGTGGACAGAAACTCTATTCCTTTTGGCAGGCCTGTCATTTCAACTAAAGGATTGGATCATTATCACCATCGCATCTAGGATGGGGAGCTCATCCTCAGTATTGTATGAGACAAGTCATATGGTCAGTAGAAGAAAGAAGTCATCCAATTTCAAAGAATTCATGATTTTTTTTTTTTTTTTTAATACCCTTTTTCAGTTCAAATACTCGTTCTGGGAAAGGCAGTAAGAATACAATCCAACTACCAAACTATTGTTGCATACATCAACAAACAAGGAGGTACAAGGCTGAGAAAACTACAGATGTTTTGCACAAGAATTATGACTTGGGCTCAACATTATCTGGAGGATCTGTCAGCTGTTCACATAAGGGGTATAAACAATATCAATGCAGACGACCTCAGCAGATCAAGGTGGTCTTCGAACGAACCTGTTATTTTCTCAGATTGTGGAGAAACTTTGAGATGCTGGCCATAGACCTTATGGCAAGAAGGAAGAACGCAAAGGTAGAAAAATGTGCCTCCCTTTTCAAGGCAGACTTTCCACTGTTCCTGGATGGTCTATCGATCAATTGGGACTTCATCCTTGCTTAGGTCTTTCATCCGGTAAGTCTCATTCCGAGGATTCTATAAAAAATAAGACAAGGTGTTGGTTCGGGCAGTAGTCCCATTCTGGCCAAACAGAAGTTGGTTCTCTGCCTTGAGGACAATGGCTTTGTCATGGTAACTTCCACTATCAACAAGTCTCCTGGACAACACTGATTCCCATAGAAATCCTGAAGATGTTCAGATTGACAGTCTGGCTGCTGTAAGGCTGACTTTACATCACAAGGGTATTAAGAATGAAAGATGTCCAAATGGTAGATGGTTGTGACAACGAGGTGATGAACACCTCCCTCTAATACATATGAATAGGGGAGCATCTCGTACCCCCCTTCCTAGTTCACGCCCTCTTCCACCTACTTCCACCCTCCCTTCCTCCACCCCCTTTTCCCCAAGAAACTAAGGGTTATAGCCACGTTGGCAAGCCTTTCCAACGGAATGAACAGCCTATGGAGTTACTGTATATGTGACAGCTTGAAGCACCGCTTAAATACTTATGTAACCGGAAATTAGTTACTACTCAGATCTGTTACTGTACCTGTTTTCTTATGGCTCCAATGTACTGCATTCTACTATGTGATACAGTGGTGTTACACCCTTAATAAAAATGATAAATACAAAAAAAAAAAATGAAAGATGCCAGTTTTTACTTAATTCCACCAGAAAATCTACCTCTGGTATTTAAGAATCTGGACTAAATTTCTTCACTGGTGCAAGGATCATCCTTGTCTAAGTAGTTCTCCTTCTACACATTCCATTGAATTTTCTGCAGGATGGTCTTAATGCGGGACTGGGGTTATCTACTCTCAAGGTTCATCTTTCTGCTCTTAGCCACTTTCTGGTCAAGAATTTGTCTTCCAACATTTTGATTCAGATATTTTTCGAAGCAGTAAAGATCAGACCTCCAAAGAGGAATTTCTTTCCATCATGGGACTTGTCGATTGTTCTTAATCGTTGTCGTTTGTGAAGAACTGTTCGAACCTTTGGAAGAAATTTCCATGAAACTTTTGTCTCTTAAAACTGCCTTTTTAGTAGCAATAACATCTACTAAAAGAATCAGTAGATTCTCAAGAATCTCAAGAATTAACTAGGTTTTTTTCCTGACGAGGTTTGTCCTACATCTAAAATCATCTTTCCTTCCAAAAGTCATCACGTCTAGGGCTATCAATCATTCAATTGTACTTCCTTCTTTTAGTAAGCCGTCAGCCTCTGGACAGGAGAAAACTTGGCATATGCTAGATGTTAGAAGAGCCCTTAGGATTTATTATTGATCGTTCATCTGGCTTCAGAAGATCGAATCATCTTTTTGTTAATGTTTTGTGAAAATTCAAAGCTTTTACAGCTTCCAAGGTTAGTCTGGCTAGATGGCTCGTGGATACCATAAAATTGGCTTACACTTCCTCTAAATTGCCTTTGACTACATCTTTAAAAGAGCATTCAACTAGAGCTATGGCTACCTCTTGGGCAGAAAAGGTTCAAGCATCTCCAGAGGATATATGCAGAGCAGCTACATGGTCTTCATTCAACACCTTGTGCAGCATTACAGGCTGACCTATTATCTGCCTCTGAAGCAGCTTTCAGGCGTAAGGTGTTACAAGCAGTGGTTGCCTAATTCCCGCCCATAGTCTTTTCTGGGATCTTGATCTCTCCCTAGTGTACTGCCACCATATGCTAGGAATTTTTTTTATTTTACTTACTGTAAATTCCTTTTTCCTTTAATATAGTGAGTACAAGATTCTCTCCCGCCACCCCCCCACCCCCCACCCACCCATTTTAAAATTTTTGATAAATTATTTCAGTATTGGGTCTCTAGTGTTTTATTGTTACAAACTGTGGGATCTTGGATGATTAGTATTTTATACCTAGTGGGCGAGGATCTTTATGTTAATTTCTTTCAGATGCTTGTCCCAGGAAAGAGCACATCCCTAGTGTACTGCCACCATATTTAGGAAAAAAGGATTTTATGGTAAGTAAAATTATTTTTTGTTTTGTTGTTGTTGTTGTAATATTGTTAGAATTTTGCTCCTCAGAGGCAAACTGTCTGATAATTAATGATTTCTCCACCCTGCCCCCTTAATTCTTAGCCATGCCACAGAAATACTTCATTGCTTAAAGAATAAATACTTCAAAGAGCTGCAAGATATAGAGGTTGATGGACAAAAGATAGAAGCTCCTCAACCACTTAGCTGGTGAGTACCCATACTGTATGTTTATGTAACCATTTACAATTGGTCCTACAATTAGTAATTGTGCAGTGTGCACCATTTAAAGGGACATTATAGTCACCTGAACAACTTCAGCTTAATGAGGCTGTACAGGTGAGTATATAAGATACCTGCAGGCTTTTTCATGTAAACACTGTATTTTCAGAGAAAATACAATGTTTACCTTGGCCTAGGAACACCTCCAGTGGCATACACTCAGGCGGCCACTAGAGGGATTTCCTAGTCCTGCCTGGATGTGCAGTTTGATGTCTTCACGTTTAGCTAACGTAGTATCAGGACACTGCAGGCACTGTGAACGATCCTGCAGTGTCCTGTAGTAACCCCTGAGGCTGTCTGCGGTCAGAGCCAATAGTGTGGAAGATGAGGATCTCCTGCACACACACAGTTGGCTCTGACTGACAGGTAGCTGCAGGCAGAAGACAGGAGGCAGAGCAGGAGGATCCAGAGATCTGCTGGACTTAAAATAGTAAGTACATTTATTTTAATAAGTGTGAGAGCGTCTCAGAGAGAGTGTCTATATAACACACAAACTTTATATTTTTTTTGTGTATATACACTATTTTCTGTTGTGTAGTGCACTGCCTTTGGGGATCTGGGCTGAGGATGGTTGTGGAGAGCATAGACGGCGAGCTAACAGCTTGTGAATGCGCACGCTGTGCGCATGCGCAGTGAAGCGCTCCATGCTAAATCATGGTGACATTTGTTTCAGTTGCCGCTCTATGATGAGGCAGGTGTTTGGAGCGCTATGCAGCGCATTCGCAGATGATAACAATGATGCTTTTATGAGAGAAACGTTTGAGACCTTAAAAATAGTCATTATGACAAAAAAAATGGGCGTAGCCAGCGGAAGATCTTTGTGCTGGAACTGCGATAACAATTAATTATTTTAAAATTAATAAGCCTTATGAATAAAAAAATAAAAAAATTGGGGAATAATACTGAAAATTAGAAAGGCTTGGGGACATAAAACCAGAGTTTTGGGGCGGAGCCTGGCAGCCACGCTGAACGGTCGCACAATATTTGGGCTCCGAGGCAACTTACCCATATTGAGCTACAATTAACAAAGAAAGCCCTAAAAACCGACTGCACAACCGCTCCAGAAACAGTGATCTTCCAAAGTGGCAACAAGCGACAGAAGATCCGACCACAAGCGGCAATCTTTTACCGGAGATCGACCCAAGGCCTGCAGAGGACCTGACCGGGCGAAACGAGGGAGGCGGCCGATCCCTTTGACGCGGCAGTCCTCACGGCTAAAGGTCTCCCTGGAATACCTTATCTCTTCCCCCCCCCCACCTCCCCATCCCGGCAATTATAAGCGAGAATCCAGCTACAACATAAGCGGCAAAGTCAGCAACCAGGCGAAGCTTACAGGGCCCGACCAAGATGGCGGCGCAGCCTAAGACCAAGCACACATGGGTCTTCATAGACTTGCTGAGTACCTATCTCTGGGCAAAACTCAAAGCCCGAAGGCAACCCTACCGCATGGCAATGAGAGGGGTGGTGGCGTGGATTCGCCCGTCCGCCCGCCCGACGTACCCTGCAATGGCATCCTCCTCACAAATTTAGAGCGACCTCCAAACTGCAGCAGAACCAGAGCTCAAACAGGCGGGAAACTGAGTTGGGCCCCCCAAACGCTGAAACCCACGACCCCGCAACACAGGACAAGCCCAGACCTACCCCTCACTCAGCGGTCCCAGAAACGAGGGACCAGCACAGTACAAACCTGCATACTGCCACCCACGGAGTGCGACGCGGACACCAACTCGAGACAGGCTCAGCCCTTGGCCCTCAGGACAGAGGGGGACGTGTCTTCGACCGCAGTTGCCGACTCCAGGTGTTCGCCACTCAGCGATGCAGGGGACTGCAGGTAGAGTAGACTGAAGACTCGGAGCAGCACGGCGGGAGTCAATGGCCAACGCACAAAATCAATGAGAGGGATGACCTCATACCAGCAGCTGGTGTAGGCTAAGTGACTCTCGAGACTTTCAACGCAAACTGTCCTGCTCGCGCCAAGCTACTTAATGTTGGGACATTCTAGCAAAGTTACCTTTATCAGCATTTTTCTGCATTGGGATTTTTGCCTAATGGGTACAACTAAAATGCCTGTAAGCTATATTTTACACAAGACTTAAATGGCGGAGCGCCAAGGACAACTACTGTTACTTTTAATTTGTCTTCATTTGATAGGCTTATTTGATTTACCCCGAAAGATATAGCGTAGTCAAAATTACATAAAAATACACCAACAAGCGGAGCATTTTAGCCTACACAATACACGTGAAATTCTGTCAAAGCTATCACCAACATGCTCCCCCTTCTCTTTTTAACACAGCGTTGGGGACAATCTGGTCTCACTCCCCCCACCCCAGCACATTCTCAACATTAGGGCAGGACTGTCTTGAGAAATAACAGCGTTACACAACGCCTAAGTCTGATCACATATCGTAAAATGTTGCATTACACACGCGGGTTGTGTTCCTGGATGGCCGGACACTTGCTACTCTCATGCTCATCTGCCGGTTTTGCCTGGTAACCTTCTCTTCTATTCGTGTGTTATAAGCAGGCAGTCTATACTAGCTCACACATAGAAAGTACACATGTAATTTGCTTAGCATACTTTATAAGCATTAAACCACTTAACCTTATCAGCATAAACAAATGTTAAACTTACGACCTGCCTAGTATATGTTACATGTGTAGAATTTGAATTTAACTTAACGCCTAGATCATCGTAAATAGACAGGAATGCTCAATTGTAACTTACTATGTCTATCCACTGTCCACTTTTTCTCTCAACGAAATTTAAAAAATTGTGCCGTATATTCATATGCCCTGTTTTAATTGTTATGCCTATTACTGCTTACGACTGCTATCGTGGCTGAGTAAGCCTATTGTTACTCCATGCACAACAAAAAATAAAGAATTTAAAAAAAAAAAAAAACAGTTTTACCATTTTGACTATAGTGCTCCTTTAGCCCCTTAAGGACACATGACATGTGTAACATGTCATGATTCCCTTTTATTCCAGAAATTTGGTCCTTACGGGGTTAAGGTTGGAAGACATAAATAATAGTGTATGCCAGGGGAAGCAACCTTTTAGCAGCACTGTGCCGAAATAGGATTGTGATGTCCCGTAGCATGCCTGTCCTATTTGTTGTTTTTTTTATAATCTTATTTATTAGCTTTTTAACCCCTTAAGGACCAAACTTCTGGAATAAAAGGGAATCATGACATGTCAGACATGTCATGTGTCCTTAAGGGGTTAAATATACAAAAACAAACAGGTACATATCATCAAAAATACAATATTTGACATCCAAATCAGCCTAACCGTCTCAGTACTATTATAGTTCAAGTCAAACATTAAATCTTTTTTTCCTTAGACATAGCCATTAGACCCAGAATTGTACTTTATGCCTCTTTGATATAATTGTTTCATATATTCCATCCATATTTAGTTGTAGGGGAGATCTCTCACTCCATCCTTAGTTGAAAATAGATTTGGGTTTTTAATATTCCCCACGTTGGAGGCTCACTCTGCTTCTAGAGCTTTACAATGCTTTTTTTTTCGCAGCTATCAAAATATGAGTTGTTATATCTATACTTCAGAGACAATTTAGGCTCTTTGGCGAGAGAATGTCAAGGGGATACCTGTGATATTCTCTAAAATGTTACATGTTAATTTCCAAAAGGCTTTTAACTTCTGATCGTTCCACCAGATATGAGTTTAAAAACATTCTGCATGGTTGCAGCGCCAGCAGAAAATGGAATATGTATCAACATCTTATTTTTTTTTGGAACGAAGTGCCATCTGGCCAAAATCTTATATTGTAATTCTATAAGATTACGGCAATGTATACATTTCTTAGCTTCTGGTATAATCTTACACCAGTCCACCTATTTCAAGATCTTTCCCATTTATGTATTATATTTTTAACTGGATCTATTAGAGAAGGATCTTCATCAGCAACAAGGGTACATTTCATCAGCGTACTAACAGTGTGTCCATGTTTTAACAGACTTTCCAAACCCTGAATTTCATTTTCTCTTTTGCATACATATTTTCCAAGATAACTTTTAATTCTAAGGTAGCGGAAGACTTCTTTTGCGGGAATATGGTATTCGGAGACTGTTTCTTGAAAATAATTAATGAGAGCCATTTAAGATATCAGAAAAAATCTTTATACAATTCTCTTTCCAAGTACATAGATTAAACTCCTCCATAATATATTCTTGGAGGCTAATATTGCTCCTACAGCGAATTGTATTCTCCCATGACAAATTATGTTCTATTTTGAATGTAGACCAAAATTTTAGAATTTGATAACTAAGGCTGTTTTTGCCTCCATTGTCAGCTGGAATCTTATCTATGCCCAGTCTTTTAGGCTCAATCCACAGGAGAAGGGAGAGGTCTGATATCTCCAACATATAGTTCTAAAGATTCTTGGCAGGATATAGAAAATCTATTTTGAACCTTTTAAAAATCTGCTTAAAGGACCACTCTAGGCACCCAAACCTCTTCAGCTTAATGAAGTGGTCTGGGCGCCTGGTCCAGCTAGGGTTAACCCATTTTTTTTGTAAACCTAGCAGTTTCAGAGAAACTGCTATGTTTATAAATAGGTTAATCCAGCCTCTAAAGCCTCTAGTGGCTGTCTCATTGATTTTCACAGTGAGAAGACGCCAGCGTCCATAGGAAAGCATTATGAATGCTTTCCTATGAGACTGGCTGAATGCACGCGCAGCTCCTGCCGCGCATGCGCATTCAGCCGAAGAGGAGGAGGAGAGCTCCCCGCCCGGTGCTGGAGAAAGGTGAGTGTTTAACCCCTTCTTCTCCCCAGAGCCCAGCGGGAGGGGGTCCCTGAGGGTGGGGGCACCCTCAGGGCACTATAGTGCCAGGAAAACAAGTGTGTTTTCCTGGCACTACAGTGGTCCTTTAAGGATAGTGTCATGTTACCTTTTTTTTTTTTTTAATTATTTTTCACCAAAAAGAAATGCATATTTGTGACAACGTATAGGCTTACGCAGAAGCCACATTACATATTCAGACAGTTTGGTTATACAGAAAGGAAGGGTGAAACGTTAGTGCACGTATGCATATTGATATCCCTAATCTTTGCGGCCGTCTGTCCGTCGTCATGAGGGTTGCTGATGTTACGTGTCCTAGTTTATCTTTTAGACCTTACTGTGGTTTCATATGACACTTCAGTTGGTGTATTTTTGTTCTAATGATAATGCATGGGAAATTATACAAACTTAAAAACCGTATTAAAGTAAATTAGCGTGCCTGCCTCTGTAGTCCAGGAGTTGTTTATCGTGTGATTATTTATTTATTCATATTTTTTTTTTAAATTCTTTGTTTTTTTTTTCATAGCCAATAATAAAGTGCGCATTTATGACACAGCCGAGGCTTTCGCAGAAGCCGCTGTATGAACGTATCATCTTGTCAGGGTGTAGGCTTACGCAGAGGCCGCCATTGAGGTACATACAGTAATACTTGTATAGGCTTACAGAAGCCTTTTACAGTGGTTCAGTAGTATAGAGAAGAAGAGCAGTGATCTACAGCTGATGTGCTTGTTTACTAGCGCTTCCAGTCTCGTCAGTGACTGAATTGCTATTTGGTGTTTTAGCACACCACCTCTACGTGACTGTCTATCGAGTCTTGGCCTAATTACACATGTCCCTTGGACTGGTATGGCATTAGATGGTTGTTAACTAATACTCATTTGACATTTCGAAATATTCCTATGGGTGGAACATATAAAACATATATGTACCTAAACCTAACGTCCAGTGGTGCAGTATGTCGGTGCATCCGTGCCCGCAGCCCGGACGAAAGTCGACGTGTGTCCCCACTGCCCTCCCTCCCATGTATGTGCTTGAGTCTCTTGTCAACCCGCCGTGTTTTCCTGATATTGTTCCCATAACTCCCAAGTTCTGTTGAACTTTTTAGTGGTGTGTCTGACTAGGGAGGTTAGTCTGTCCATTAGGTAATTGTCTTTTATCTTTGCTAGGACCAGGGCCACTGGGGGTAATTCCGGGCATCGCCACTTCTGTGCTAACGCCCTGCGTGCCGCTAAGTAAATCATGTTTAATAATTGTTGCTCTGGGCGTGGGAGGCCGACCGTTGGTCTGGAGAGTAGGCAGGCCCAGGGGTCTAGCTGTAGCGGCCTCTGCAGTATGTTTGTGCTCAGGCTGATAATTTGAACCCAGTATGCTTGTACCAGGGGGCATTTCCACCACATATGCACGTAGGTGCCTCGTTCCCCGCAACCGTGCCAGCATTGATCTGTGGCAGTGATCTGCATGCGGTATTGTTTTAATGGTGTGGTGTACCACCTGAAAAGTGTTTTAAATGATTGTTCTTGAAGGGTGACACATATTGATGTTCTGGCTGTGGCCTCCCATATATCTTGCCAGTCGGAGCCCTCTAATGTCTCACCCAGGTCCGTCTCCCACTGATCCGTGTAACGTAATTCCCCCCATTCTTTGGCCTCCCCGCTGAGATGTGAGTACAATAATGAAATGAGTCCTTTGGGGTGTGTTTCTTGGTAGCATATATTCTTGAACCAGGTGAGGGGGAGGGTGGCTATCTCTTTGACTTCCTTTGAACTAGCGAAGTCTCGTAATTGGAGGTAGCGGAAGAAATCCCTGGTTGTTAGGGGGGATTGTACCCTGAGCTGATCGTAAGTGACTATTTGATCGTGTTGGTATAGGTGGCAGTATCTCTGTATACCTGCCCTCTCGATGCCACTAAAGTCGCCTGCTGTCATACCCGGTTGGAAGGATCGGTTCCGAAGTACAGGGGACATTGGGGAGGGGAACCTGCTTAAAGAGTACTTGACTGCTATTTGATCCCATATTCTCAGGGAATTTGTTATTGCTGGACAGGTTACTCTGGGGAGTGCTCTGTGTGCCCTATGTAACCAGAGGTAGAATTGTGGGAGATCTTGCCCCATTAGTGATGTCTCAAGTTCTACCCACCGTCGGGTGTCCGGGGTGGAGTGCCAGTATGCGATTTGCGCTGTCTGCGCCGCTAGGTAGTATATGTACAAGTTCGGTAGTCCCAGTCCCCCTCTGTCTTTGGGCCGGTATAGGAGTTTTCTAGCTATTCTGGGACGTTTCTTTTGCCAGATGAACATGTCTATTGTCTTTTGTAGTGTGGTTAGGTCACTCCTTTTGATCGGTGTGGGCAGGGCCTGGAACAGGAACAGTATTCTAGGGAGAATGTTCATTTTAACTGAGTGGAGTCTACCTAGCCATGAGATGGGTTTGTCTGTCCACTGCTCCAGGTCCCTTATGAGTGTACGGATCAATGGGGAGTAGTTTGTATCGTGTAAGTGTTCGTGTTGCGCCGTGAGTTTGATCCCTAAATAGTGTATGTTGTCGGCTGTGGTGGGCAGATGGTATCTATTCTGTATAGTAACTCTGTCCTGTGTCGGGAGATGGAATGGTAGTGCCATGGATTTGGTGAGGTTCACTCTGTAACCCGCTTGGGTTCCATAGTTGTCTAGGAGTTCTGTCAGGTATTCTATGGAGGTCAGAGGGTCTGTGAGGGTCAGCCTTACGTCGTCCGCATATGCAGAGACTTTGAAGGTTTTCCCCCCAGCCCGTATACCGTGTATGTGTGGATGTTGGCGTATGGCTTGTAGGAGCGGTTCTAGGGAAATAGCGAACAAAAGTGGGGAGAGAGGACAGCCCTGCCGTTGTGAAGGTGGAAGGGGGTCTTAGTGGCTCCTGCTATTAGGGTTTGGGCCCTTAGGTTGGTATATAGGGTGCGTGTGGCCTGGATGCATGTCCCCGGGAAGCCCCATTCCTCCAGCAGGCCAAACAGGTATGGCCATTGCACCCTATCAAAGGCCTTCTCCGCGTCCAGGGACAAGGCCAATGAAGGCCGCTCAGACATTTGCATGTACCATGTGAGCACCGCCCCCCTGCGTGTGTTTTCGTACAGTTGCCTACCGGGTATAAACCCCACCTGATCGGGGTGAATCAGGCGCGTGAGCATCGGCGCTAACCTGGCCGCCAGGATTTTTGCGTAGATTTTGAGGTCCGAATTGATCAGTGAAATGGGTCTATAATTTGCTGCCAATTCGGCATCTTTCCCGGGTTTGGGGATAAGCGTGATGTTGGCCAATGCCATGTCCGCATCCGGCTCCCCGCCCGTCATGAAGTGGTTATATAAAGAGGTGAGGGGCCAATTCTTCCTTGAATTTCTTGTAATACCCTATGTCGTACCCATCGGGGCCTAGGGCTTTGTTCCCTTTTAAGATCGCGATTGCCTTTTCTACCTCTGGTTGTGTTATTGGTTCTTGTAGGTCTGTGATATCTGTGTTTGTCAGCGCAGGGAGTTTAATGCCGGCTAGGAGTGTGCGCAGTGAGGAACGTAGTTGTTCTGGCGTGTTTTGTGCAAGTGGTGTCTGCCCGTATAGGTTCGAGTAAAATTCTGTGAACACCTTGTTTATTTCTTGGGGAGTTGTCGCAATTCCTTGGGTAAGTGTGCATATTTTCGTGATGGGTTTGTGGTCCCCACGGGGGCGTAGAGCTCTGGCTAAAAGGGAGTCCATTTTGTTGGACTTTTCATAGAACAATCGCCTAGACCTCTGGATGGAGTGTGCCACCCCCTCGAGCAGGATACTCCTAATCGAGTGTCTCAATGCGGTGAGTTCTGTTAATTTGTCCGCCGTGGGGTTATGTTTGTGCTGTTGTTCCGCTTTTCTCAGAGCATTCTGAGATTCTATCAGTGCCCGTGTATTGCACTTTTTTTTGTGTGTTGCTGCTTTGATGAAGTGTCCTCTTACGACCGCTTTATGAGCCGCCCATACCGCCACTGGGTTGACTTCTGGCGTGTTGTTGTGTGTGAAGTATTCTGTGAGGAGAGTGCGCGTGTCGTCGCGTATAGGGTCGCTATTTAACAGACTTGTGTTAAGGCGCCATGTCCAAGTGGCGGAGTATTTGAGTTTGTCCAACGTGACAGATACGTCTGCGTGGTCCGACCATGTAATACTGCCTATGTCAGTATGTATAAGTTTGGACATCCCTACCCCGTTGAGGAAAATGTGGTCAATTCTGGAGTATGTTCCGTGTGGTGCCGAATAGAACGTGTAGTCACGTGTGTCTGGGTGTTGGAGCCTCCAGGCGTCTAGGAGTTGTGTGTCGGTGAGGAATGTGTGCAACAACTTATCCTGTGCACCTTTCCCATGGGACCTGGGTGAGCCTGTTTTCGAGCTTCTATCAATCGCTGGACATGGGACAGCATTAAAGTCACCCCCCACTAGCGTTATCCCTCCCCCTCCGGCTTGTATTATTGTCCTGAGCGTGTCCCAATATGTTGGGTCTGGTACGTTAGGAGCGTATACGTTAACGTTTCTTATTTTCCTGCTATGGATTGTGCCTGTTAGGGCGATGTAGCGGCCCTCCGGGTCAGCTAGTGTCTCAGTGACGTGGAGTGGGCTGTTTTTGTGCACCAGTATTGCCACCCCGGCTCGCTTGTGGAGCGCTCTCGCCTCGTGAGTCTGTGGGAAATGTCTGTCTTTCAGGTTTATGGACGCTGACCTAGGAATGTGGGTTTCTTGGATAAGGGCAAGGTCGATTTTGCGTGACTTTAGGTCTCTCAGTAATAGCCTACGTTTGTTCGGGGTATTAAGTCCCTTAACGTTGAGTGAAGCGACCCTGAGAGCCATTCGTGTGGGGTGTGAGCACCTACTTTGTTGTGTGGTCTGTGTCCCTCTAGCCGTGGGTGGATCCCCCTCGCCCGGGCTGCGGGCAGCAGCAGTTACGCACCGTAGTGTGGCCGCGTAGGTGCGTCGTAGGTAACCTCTACTGCAGAAGGAAAGAACACCGTTAACTCGCAGTTCAAAAGCATAAACAAAAACAAGTATAAACACAAATCAAGTCTTACACCCTGCCGGAGACCGCTGGGGGCGTGGGCTCCCTAGTCCGAGTAGCGTGTAGTGCCGGACGTAACTATGTACAGGAAGTGTGAAACGTGTATTTGTGTTAGTGTGTCTGATAACTTGGGGCCTCAGTGAGGTTGCCGGTTGCGGTTCTCCCGTACCAGGTCTAGTACTGCTACGGGCAGATCCGCTGGTGTCGCCGGCTCTAAGGCAGTGTGTGTAGTGTCTATTAAGGCGCAGCAGGCACAGCTGCGGTGGTGTATGTGCTGTGTCGTTGGCGTGTGGCTTGCATGTGTCGGTGGGCAAGCAGGCATTTGCGTTAGTCATCATCTTTTGGAACCGGGAATGAGCATATGTTCCCGTGTTACCTTGTGGGGTGTGGTGCAGCGGTAGTATGGGGGCTAGGTCCCATAGCGGGTGTGTCATTATATTCCAGGCTTGGGGCTGAATTGTGGTGTGGGTTTTTTTTTTTCTCCTCCACCTCCCCCTCCCCCTCCCCCTTACCCCCTTACCCCCTTACCCCTTCCTCCCTTGTGTGTGAGGAACCGTGTTTTGCGGTTTGTTTTATCTCCCTCTAAAGTCAGTCTTGGCATGTGTATGGAGGTGCTGTGTTTGGTTACCAAGTCTGTCCCTCCTTTGTGTGTTTGGGGGGGTACTGGTTAGCCCATTTCTCTGAGTGTCTCTATACCTCCCACCTGGACCGTGAAGTCCCACTCATACGACCTGGCAGGAGGTGTCTTTTCCCGCTCTTCGTTGCGGATCGTGATGGGTGGTCAATGGATATGGTCTCAGTATCCGGTCTCAGTCCTTTTTAGTGTGTCCACGGTGTTATCGTCTAAACATCATTTCTCGCTGTCCTGCTACCTTGGCTTGAGGCAATGGGGTTGTGGAACAATTCTGTCGGGGCCTGGTGTTGGGTGGGAGGAGCTAGCTGTAGCACTCGGTTTGATATCTCTGTAGGGGACCTAGCCGCTGTCGTGCCTTCTTTATGGTCACAAGTGCTTGAATGAAGTGATCTGAGATTACTTCCTCTACGTGCTGCAATGCATAAATTGAGGATTGTCCTTCGCCACCTTTTCGTATTCGCAGATATCTGAAGTTTTCACTGGGACTCCTGATAGGCCAGAGCCTGTTTGGCCCTAGCAGCCCTGAGTGCCGTGCAGACACCTCGAGTACCATGCAGGACACACATGCCATAGGTTGCCTACCCCTAGTATATACAATGATGGCAAAAAAAAAAAAAAAGTTAAGTTACGCTCTTGTTCTTATAACCTTTTACCGTATGAAGGTCTCCTACACATTGACACAAGAACCATTGTCATATTGTTGATCATATTACATCATTTTATATAGGGTTTTTGTTTTTCTTACTTTTATAAATCACATGACTTTACATAATAAAGTACTGTGACTGATTACATTAAAGTATCAATTGATATAGGAACAACCTATAACCAACATCACTTTTTTTCATAGCCTAAAAAGGTTCTTATGTCCATAATTATTTGAATACTTCTCTAAGCACACTCTAGGTAGGATACATATACTATTTCACAGAACAGTGTAACTCATACAAAGCAAAGTCAGTGCTACCCCATATCTCCCACTCAATAGTTACAAGGAAATTCTACTAAAGCACACATTGCAAAGGTGGTGAATATGTTTGGAATCAATGTCTACTTTATTTCTTAGTAACGTGATCCAATAGAGCTATCCAGATATGTAGCTGCTGGTGACATCAGCTGGTCATTAAAAACACTGTACCGTTGGGAATTGCATATATCTATTGCTAATGTCACAGTCCTGATGCCACTTATCAATTTGCCATCTCCTCCTGTCCACAAAGTAAGAGTAAGATTCACATACCCAGATGGCACGGAGGCACGGCTTGAAGCTATGCTTCGAAGCCTTCTCATTAGTTTAATATTGGATTTAGGGTGGTAGGACAAGGGAGAGCAGAACGGTAGGCACTATAATAACTTCAATAAGGTGGATTTATTAAAGTGCCTACAGTGTCCCTTTTAAGAAATTGTCAGTGGAATCTCCGTTGTAACAGACTAAGTATCTCCCAAGGCGCCAATGACTATTTGGTATAATGACGTGTTTGTGTTTTAACCCCATTAAGGACCAGTATCCTTTAATAAGAGTGCTTTGTTTACCATCAAAGCACTATGCCTATTATTAAAGGATCATTTTCCAAAAAGACAATATTCTATTCATTTATAGACGTCAAGGCTATCAATCTAATTCCCTGATACTTCCCTTACCTTTTCTATCACTTTACCCCACTCCCTCAAACATGTAAGCTCACTGAGCAGGGCCTTCAACCCCTCTGTTTCTTTGCGTCAAACTTGACTCGTTACAATTACGTGTTTGTTAGTCCACCCATTGTAAAGTGCTACGGAATTTGTTGGCGCTATATAAATTATTATAATAATATTGTGCTGCCATTGCTAAAACAAGACGACCTCCTATGCTAGCACATGCACTTTAGGAGCAAAATAGGTAGAGGATAAAGCATGGCTTACACTAGGTTTTTTTTGTTTTCGTTCTTTTTAACTTAACCTCTGTGTTAATGTGAGCCTCACCTGTTTTGTCCCATTAGGACACACACATTTGACTTGTGATGCACACTTTTCTTTCATCTCCTCCAAAACCAAAATTCTGACTGTATGTAGTCATTTAAAACAAAATAAGAGCTGAGTCAGATTTGCAATTTTTCATGCAAATGCTGTTTGAGTTGTGTGGTTGTTAATAAAATAAGTTTTCTAGGTGCCTTGACGCCTTTTGTCTAGTGGTTAAATCTTTATATTCTTCTACAAATTAAGGGTTTATTATTATATAGCAGCAGTGCAAATACACAGGGTTGCATCAGGAACTTACTGAGAGATGTACAGGTTTCATATGGCTAGAATGTAAGCAGCAGTAACGAGGATGTTAGAGGGGGAAAACAAGATATAGAGGGTTACAAATGAACAAAAGGTTACTAAAAAAATATAAATATTATTTATATATATATATATATATATATATATATATATATATATATATATATATATATATATATATATATATATATATATTATTTTTTTTTTTTTTTTTTTTTTTTTTTTTACTATTTACATAAATTCAATAGGTGTGTGAGTTCCCAGAGCATCACTGCTTTGAGACTTGATAAGCAACCAACAGAGGAAATGATCACAGTTGCGATGTACTGTCTTGACTGGGAAAGTCTGATTTGTGTTTTTAATTGAATCAATTCTATCCTTAAGCAATACGTTTACCAGGCTTGGATAGGTCAATGTGTGCTTTACTTTACGTATTTACTTAATGTATTGTTAAGGAGTGCCACTTACGATACATCCAGCAGTATCTGACATTTGTTGTTACATATCCACAAATACTACATAGAATATTGTCAATTGAATCCGTCTTATTTCTTATTGAGCGGTAGGGGTGTGTGTGTGTGTGTATATGTATGTATATGTGTGTGTGTATATGTATATGTGTATATATATATATATATATATATATATATTAATATAAAAACATTTGTGTATGAAATAAAACTTGCTTGTCTGTATAGTTGTATTCCCCCCCGCAACAATTTTGATTGAAAAGTTAAACTTTCATAAAAACACACAATAGTATTTCAAATAATCTCATAATTTTCTCCCCTATTGTATTTAATATTCACTGCAGGTACCCTGATGACCTTGCATGGCATACAAATATGAGCAGAAAGATAATCCGCAAATCTCCTGAACTGGAAAAGTTCCACCAGTTTCTTGTCAGTGAAACTGAATCGGTAAGAACACAGGCTTTCCAGAATGTGTTTTGATTTTCTTTGTTATTCTAGCAGTAAGTGCTGTTAATGTTAACTTGGCCAAAGGTGGAAGAGGCTTTAGCCAAATGTGGTTCTTTCAGCACTGCTATTTTAAACTGAAATGAAGTGTGTTGCAATTCTGTGGTTGGGTTTGTATATGGACAGCATCATTATATATTCATTTATATGGAATTGAAAGGCTCGATTTCCAGTTATACATTTGTTTGGTAATTTACACATAGGAACACTGAGGCATTACTCTACAAAAATCTATCGTCACTTTGCATTAGCAACTGATTTCCAGGTGAACCTAATATGGTGTATCTTTAAAATCTATAGCATAACATTTATTTGAATTCCGAGATGAGTTGCTATCATGAATGTAGAATGTACTGGCAGAATTATGTTTAGGTTTCTATTCATCAATGCATTTAAAACAAGTGGTGTGTAACATGACTTTAAGGTACATTATATGCATCATAACAACTTTAGCTTAATTAAGCCATTTTAGTGTATAGCTCATGCCCATGGAGTCTTTTTAAGTCTCTGCCGTTTAGCTGTTAAATCACTTTTGTTTCTGTCCATACAGCCCTAGCCACATCTCCCCTGGTTGTGACTGACGCAGCCTGCATGAAGAAAAGTGTATTTTCAATCAGATGTTCACTTGTTTTTGGAGTTTTTATCTCCGGTTCTGAAAATTGAACTTGGTCACACACAGGAGGCTCCTACAGGCTCTCGAAGGCTATTAACCGTTCAGAAGATAAGAAATTCTATATTAAACACACTGTGCAGTAAGAGAACTTAAAATATCTACGTTCTTTTTCAGGAAGAGTTTAGACAGGCTGTGCAGGTTACATACAGGGAAGTGTGACTAGGGTTGCATGAACACAGTCAATTAACTTGTAAATGGCAGAGAATTGAGAAGTGAGACTGAAGACTGATCTATACACAAAACTGCTTCATTAAGCTAAAGTTGCTTTGGTGCACTTTAATGATTACCTGATATCTATTAAATTATTTTGTGTATGTCAGAGGGGTTGAAGTATTAGTACCGAAGCAGGAAATACATTTTAGGAGCTGTGATACATTAAATATAAATGTTAAACTTCCCTGCTTAGTGGTATTTATATTTAACCAATGTAGCTTCATGTAAATGCCAGAAGAACATAAAATGTGTGTGTGTGTGTGTGTGTGTGTGTGTGTGTGTGTGTGTATAATACCCACATAAAAAAGCACAGTAACACATGTATATGGTACTCCTACTTTTTAAAATGAGTTTTTTTTTGTGTGTGTGCAGGGTGCAACAGTTTGCATAGTAGTTTCCCTTTCTCTTAGAGACCCCATCACTTTTTCTTACTGTTTCCTTACTCCTTAGCTGCAACTTTGAAGTTTGGAAAATTTGCTGTAGGGTGTTTTGGTAAAGGTGGACATGATGATGCTGCATATCGTTTATTTCACACTTCTATGCTCTGTTCTCAATGATGCTGTTGCTGGAGCAGGAAGTGATGTTCATTAAAAAACAGACATTGAGACCTTTTCTTGCTGATTTTGCCTGCATGAGTTATACGTTAATTCGTTTTAGTATGGTTTCAACCCTGAAGTTTAGTGCATGTCTGTCCTTTCTCTTGTAATGCTTGCCCTGGACACCACATTTGTTCTTGTTCTTCTGGATCTTCTTGGGTGATGGCAATTGACTGATGTCAGCTAATGCCAATCACCGCTGCCTAAAAAAAATAAAAAATACAAAAAATAGAGATGCACTGAAATTTCGGCTGCCAAAAATGGGCCAATCCCATTTTGCCCGAAAATGGGTCAACTCTGCCGAAAATCTAGAGGGGCCCCAGCTGCTTGCCCTGTGTGCCACCAGGTGCGAGGGCCCTCCTGTCTGCCCTGGGAGAGAGCCAGCACAGTCTGCAGCTCTGCCGGGTGTGAGCTGCAGACTGTGCTGTATCTCACGATGTCCAGACGTGGTAACCAGCGGCAATGCTCTGATTGGCCAGATATCGTGAGATACAGCAATCAGAGCATTGCCGCTGGTTACCACTTCTGGATGTAGCGAGATACAGCACAGACTGCAGTTCACACCCGGTCACACCTCCCTCGGTCACACTGTCACTCCCTCCCTCGGTCAGTCACTGTCACCCACTCCCTCAGTCAATCTCTCCCTCAGTCACTCTGTCACCCCCTCCCTTTTTCGGGGAAAAAGTCATTTTGGGTTTTGGTTTTCGGCCAAGGGCATCCTGAATTTTCTGTTTCGGTTTCTGCCCAGAATTTTCATTTCGGTGCATCCGTCCAAAAAAATGCGGGTGCACTCCAAGGGATTTTCATGGGATACAGTGTTACTCTTAATGCATTAAAGGTAACATTCACAAAGTCCCGATCAATGTTTTGACCCCTACAAGGACAGGGAGACAGACCCTTGTAGGGGTCGAAACGTCGATCGGGACCATGGTAATGTTTGCCTGAATGCATTAAATGTAACACAGTATCTCACGAAAAACCCCAGCAGCGCACCCTCATTTTTTTTTATTTTTTTTTATGTAATTGACGTGGATTTGCACCGGGGTGAGTAGCAAGCTTTATTTATATATGTGGCAGAACAGACCTCGCCACGTGTTCTTGGAGGGGGCTGCTTGCCCGCCTCCTACCTTCTGACTATGGCCCTGGGATATATGGCATTTGAAAACACTATTTGTGCCCTGTGATAAAACTGGAGATTGTGCACAAATATGACTATTGTCCATATTTTTTATGATTCCCTTTGTTTGTTGCAGTGTTCCCCATGTGTTTCATCTGTTGGTTCGGCTGGATAGACTACCAGACAAACTGGAGTTACTAGGTGGCCACCATTGCATGTATCAGTGGCACATGGTGAGAACAATGGATGGCGGCCATTTTAACTCACAGACACTGTTTTGACTTTTCTACACGGTGCCATTTCGCCGGTATTTGGTGCATAAAGACATTGTTCAGTAGTTTTTAAACTAAAGAACGGGCCACATTTAACAATAATTATTTTTCATATAGCCTGTAAATGTTCTGCGGAATCTGCAATAAACCGTATCTTCCAAACTACTGCATGGATCTGGGTGAATTATGGATATGTGGTTCACCCAGATCCCCCGGTTCCGAGGATATACTTTTTTAAAATGGGGTTATTGCATGTTTTGGGGTCCCTGTGATATGTTTTAGAATACTATATTTTCCTGCCTGTGATAATTAAGTTAGTCTATTGTGTTGAGATAATTGTATCACAGGCAGAGGGGAGGATTTCTGATGTAATGAATGGGAGTGTTAGCTGTGTTGATTGGTTGTTCTTCAAAACCCTGTGTACAGTACTATGTTTGTAGAATGTGAATAAAAGAAGCTGTATGTGCCAGAACAGTTAGTTCTACTTCACCCTCAATTTGGAGTGCTTGCCCTCAGGAAGCACTAGGAGCATCCTTCAATGGAGGTACCCAGTCGGGTTGACCGTCGATCCGTTACATTAGTGGCAAGCAGTGGGATGGCGTCCTAGTGCGAGGTAAAGCACCTCGGAGACACCGTTCGTGGAGTTACAATTTGAGGGCAACGCTAGCACTCGTGCAGCGCCCCTGAGAGCAGAGGTATCCAGCGACTTGGAGCAGAGGGGTATGGAAGGCTCTGGCTCTGGAGATGATTCGCTGGCCGAGGTGATAATGTGCCAGGTGATATATGCCAGGCGATCTGGAACCAGGTCACAGCCGAGCGAAACGCAATGATGGACCGAGAATTCCGGCTGGTGAAAGAGAGAATATGCTCAGCGAGTGTTACAGCGGCCAAAGAGAGGCTGCATTCGAGGAGGTTAACCGTTTCCCCCTGAGGCCGCCAGAGGAACCCAAAGTAGGGATCCTCATAGACTGGTCCTGTGAGGAACCACAACAGGCAGGTGGAGATGTGACCGAGGTCTCTTCACCGGGATGCTGGGAAGCTGGCCCAGATCCCCAGCAGCAGCTGGAGTTACCGGGTGCAGAAGCAGGTGGTCCCTACTCTCAAATGTTGAGGGACCTCATAGAATGGTCCTGGGAAGACCCACAAATGGCAGGTGGAGGTCTCTCTACCGGCCCTACAGGGATGCTGGGCAGTCGGCCCAGATCCCCAGCGGCAGTGTACCTTGTAGGGAGAGAAGAGCAGCGTCCTCCCTCCCCAGCAGCAGGGTGAGCTACAGGGGGCAGGGACAGTCTGTCCTGCTCCCCAGCGGCACTGTGTTTCACTGGGAGCGGAGAGCAGCGTCCTCCCTCCCCAGCGGCAGTGTGTCCCCTTAGGAGAGGAGACAGTTGGTCCCTCTCCCCAGCAGTCAAGCAAGTCCCAGGGAGCCAAAGGTGCTGTCCTACCTCCCCAGCGGCAGTGTGTCCTGCAGGGAGCAGGGACAGTCGGTCTCGCTCTCCAGCAGCAGGACAATATATGGAAAGGGGAGACAGTCGGTCCCCCCTGCTCCAGCAGAGAGAGTGTCAAGGAGAGGAGCCGGTCACACCCTCTCCCCAGCTGCTGAAAGTGTTTAAGGGAGAGGAACTTGGTACCCCCCCTCCCCTGCGGCAGTCTATGGTTCAGGGAGAGGAGCGGCAGCCTAGCCCACCAGGGGGAGAGGATAAGCCCCACACCTGCGCAGATGGGACCGTGGTCTCTGCGCCCAAGCTACAGGGAGTACGGACAGTCGGTCCTACGCCCCAGTGGCAGAGTATTCTATTGGAAGTGGAGACCATCAGTTCATCTCCCCAGCGGCAGCCTAGCCCACGAAGGGGAGATGCTAAGCCCCACACCAATGCAGATGGGACTGTGGTCTCTGCACATGCATCACAGGGGGTAGGGTCGGTCCTGTCCCCCAGCAGCAGGGTTGTTCATCCAAAGGGGAGACAGCCTTGCTTCCCCTCCAGCAGCAACCCCAGGTCCGGAGTGAGGAGCCTACTACGCCGTTCCCTCACCTGGGCTCCAACCATGCTACTCCTGTGGTAGCACGGACAACAGGACAGAGTACAGCTGGTCTGCCCACTCAGCAACCCACCAATCCAGAGTGCTAGTACCCCCCAGAGCCGAGGTGTAGCTCCTGCACATGGACAAGCGACCCACTACCCCAGGTGTAGTAACCAATTTTCGTGGGTGGGTTATACTGCGGATTCTGTTTTGTGGGTGGGTTGCTGGACTAACCAGGGCACTGACCGGCAGGATATATTATATATTTTATAAGGGGTATGATGAGTACTGTCGCCCTAAAAATCCTGAGTATTCCGCAACCTGTAATAAACATACTAATAGTAATGCCCGTGACAAGAATATATTCTAACCCCTGATCCCTCTGGAAGAAGAAAATGGATACAAGTGAAGGCCACATTCCTAATCAATAGATCTAAAGATATAATGGGATAAGTGAGGAGTATGAGCGTGGCCCTGCCCGGGACCTCCTTGAGGGTAGAACACGATTTAAGATAAAATGGTAGTGCTGTTAAGGGACATAATCCCATTGTACAGCACTATTGAATTTGTTGGCGCTATATAAATAATATACTTGGTAACCTAGCCAAGCGACTAACTATACTTTAAGTAGAATTTAGGCAATCCGTGAAGGAAGCCCCATAACAGGTGAAATAAAATAAATGTAAATATACACCAAGGCAATATTCAGGTAACTTACTGAACAGCACTAGTGATAACATCTAATCCCCGATTAAGTGCCAAACACTTGGTCGCCCTTGAATATAGAAACAGATACAAGAAACATATTCCTACATTATAAATGGAATAGCAGAAACATAAGTTCAGCTTATACGGTGATGCTGTTGGATATAGGTTAAGGCATCGAGCCTTAGTGACATGAATATAAGAATGCACCGGGTGAGCGTAGGGTTAAGTTTGAGTGAAATCAAAATAGTGTTTATATTAGGCGAACCAGTGTATTGTCAGCATCTATTGACAAAGCATGAAACAGATTTACAATCAAAGCGTATACCTACCAGAATAAAACTATCTTCAACCAAAGATTAGATTAATTTAAAATATAGACTCATGCAATATCAATACTGACCACCATAACTGAAAGACCAATGCTCTCATGTATCTTAAATTAGGAGGTAGGTAACCTCACCTATGGATCGGACAAAGAGAATTAGCAATTAACCTGAATAACCTAATCGAGTCACCTAAGAAGAAAAATAAGCGCCTTGCAGGATACTGATAAAGCGTGAACATAAACAAACGCCTGTTTGACCTGAATTCATTATTACTTAAATATCAGGCAACAGCAAGTATACTCTGTGCAACATCAAAATTGACCAGTAGAGGTCCGTCTTAAAGATGCAGTATGACCCCAACATACCAGTGTAGAATTGATAGGTCCAAAGAGTAACCAAATACTCCAACGTAATGACAAGCAGAAGCACCAACTGAATTTATGCAAAGAATCCCTAGTCCGACAAAGCTTAAAACGCGACCCAAGTACATGTAATATAGCATGAAGTACATACATACTTAAAAAAAACACTATAATAGCCATAAACCATTTAAAAATGATATCAATTAAAACCCATTTGGCATCTATTTTAACAGTGTTATACGTCCATAAACATACATGAGAATTGAGTAGTTCGTGTCAGCTACTTAGTACCTAAAATACTAGTGTTAATGAAGCAGCGCAGCTGACTTTGAAACAAATCGAAAGGACAGTTATAAACGCGAGCGTTCGTATGTGAATTGCAGAGTCTGATTGCGGTTTGTGTGTTCGTGCAGCTTACGTTTAAATCCGTGCATTCGTTTGTGAGAATTAGGTAAAGTATTTCGTGGGGTAAGATAATAGAACAAGTGATACGTTCAGATAACAATATAAATGTCGAACGAAGCGCACGAGGACCGAAAGGCTAGGTTTACTCATGATTCTACGTCACCCGCTGGCGGGCTCTGACTGGTCCGTTCGCGGGACGAGCAACAATACAGCTGTCAGCTTGTTTGAGCCAAATCACTTGCGAGAACCAAACTGTTCAAAAAACGCAGGAACGTCTCCTGAGGTTTGCTTCCTTACGGACCACCAAGACTACGGCTCTCTTCGAAAAACGGCTACAGGTAGGGGAGGACCAGGTAAGCGTTCCCCCGTGTGTGGGCAGATGAAGGCCCTGTGGGACACGTCTTTTTCCCACACTAGATAGTGCTGTGAAATTCCCACGGATGCCCAGTTGAACACTTGGACATTCACTATTGTCTGAAATTCGGACAGGAATTTTGGCTATTCCTTAATTCGCAATGAAGATGAATGAATGAATAACATTTTTATTACAAGGGGAAAGCTACAAGCTTGCAGCTCTCTCCTTGTAATATGTGAAAATAGAAGTGGCGGAGAGTGTTCCCTGCCACTTCCTAGTCCCCACCCATGGCCCCCCTGTTAATCTGAGGATCGATATGACCCCCATATTAGCCTAAGGGAGATTAAAATCTCCCGAATGCTCCTATTCCTTATGCCGCAAGTAGGTTCATGTCTACTAAATAGTTATAAAAAAAAAGCCTCAACCCCTTGAATCTAATAAAGAGGGACCTAGCATAGCTCCCTCATGGTGGCGCATCTATTGTTGCTCACACCTATTGTTGCTCCCACTCGTGAACGGCAGGTAGGGGCCCTAATAGACAAAAGGTGGGGGGCACCTACTGCCTCCCCGCCCCCCCACCCAAGACTTTTTTTTTTTTTTTTTTTCAATCAGGTGCTTTTCATAGAGAAGTAGTGAACACACAGCATATGCACGACAATTGATTCTACTGCTTTGGATGGTACATTGTATGGTATCGGCATTCTGTTCATGCTGATGTTGGACATTAAATATATCCAGTAACTTAATCTTTCTGTTGCATGCCATTTGTAGCTGTCTGTCTGGCAGCATCTACTAGCAGTGGATATTGAAAATGCGAATAGTGACCTTTTCCAGAAAAGGATGTTTCATTTGCAAGCCTGCTGGGTCAGCTTGAACGCTCCACAAATAACTTAAATTACTTGTTAATGTGCTTAAAAAGTGTCCCTTTAATCGTCCATGTAAAGCTATATTGCAGTCACTGATCATATGTTGTAACCGTATGTATTAAATGTCTGTCTTGTTTCAGGGTAACATCAGCCGTCAAGAAGCGGTCAGTATGATTCCTCCTGTTCTTCTGAATGTGGAACCTCATCACAAGGTGAATTGGAACTTGATGAGCACAATCAGAACAAGCTGCTTTTCATATAAAGCCTTTTATATATTGTACACTGTTCATCACAGTTATTTAGTATACTGAGAATTTTGGAGGGTTGATCAGAGCATTGCAACATTTAAAGGAACACTCCTGGCACCATATCGTTATGTGCTAGGAGGTCCCTCGCTCTGGATTACTTTTAGGGAGGTAAGCTGTGGTAGTGTAAACTTATTCATTATGCTGCCATGTCTTAAGGCTCCGTTAATGCTGGTTTTGGTGCATGCACTCATGGGTGGTGAAGGAACATACTTTGTCTCTCATTGCAAATAATGAATGTGACGGATATCTTGCATAATACGGTAAATACAGCAATTAATTTGTAACTGGTTGCTTTAGCTGTGGAATTGTACAAGTGCTCAGAAAAACACTAGCAATTTCAGTGTTCTAATGCAGGTCACTGTTGATAGGCTTGCTTGTATTAATTCATATTGTTAGGCAGTAAAGGCTATGGACTCTGAAAGCCTGTATCACAAACCTATAATGCTCCAGTCAATATACCTCTAACTAGATTTTGATTTAAATTTCTCCACAAATCTGTGGACAACACAAGCTGTTTCATAAACTATCAAAATAGTGTTTCTTTTGTAAGACAATGCTCAGTTAGATTTATTTATTTTATTTTTTTCTCAAATTTGTTTATCCTCTTATTCCTGTGGTGTTGACTTTGAGGGTCAAAAGATGGATTTCCATAGCCAGAATTTAAAAGGGTTTAAACTGGTAAAAATAAATAATTTTGCAAAGTTGTGCCAAATGTTGCATGGATATTTACAGTGGGCAGAGCTATAAAATGTATAAACATAATGTGTTTTTCGCCTAGATTTTGGATATGTGTGCTGCTCCAGGATCCAAGACAGCACAGCTTATTGAAATGCTACACGCAGATATGAACATTCCTTTCCCTGGTATGTTATGGTCATGGTAGACACATTGAATTATATATATATATATATATATATATATATAGAGATATAGAGATTATATATTTTCACACATATACATAAATGTACAGAGTTACAAGAACCGTTTGACTTTTTTGTTTTTCTTTGTTTAATACTTTGTTAGCACAGATACAATGTACATGGAAATAAGGTACAGTAAGAATTAGAACCTGAGTTATTTGGGAGAAGAAAAAAAACACCAAGGTGGTACCATTGGTAAAACCTGACCAGTAACAAGAAAAAAAAAATACAAAAAAAGCTCATTGTAAAGACCCATGAATTGTTGCAGGGAAATCCAGGAAGCTTCAGGACTCGAACAGTATAATTATTACATTGGGACCAGATTTTATTGTAAGAAGCTATGTTGGCCTATTTATGAGCCGATTATCATTTTGGAAGTGATCTCATTAGTTGGGGTAACAGTAGTATGTAACCAGTTGCCTCTATGGCTATTTTATGTTGGCCTTCAATGGGTCTGGAAAACACAAAAGCCCAAGGGTCCAGGTCTCTGAAGCATATCTGTTAATAATTGGATATTAAAATGGCACCACTTGTGGCCAGGTCCTCCGCGTATGTAAGTTCCCTTGAGGCCACATGACCTCTAACAGAGCTCAGTTGGCTTTCACTCATTTGGAATCATTTCACTGAAGAGCTATCATCATGATTTTAAACTTCAACATTTATTAATAACGCATAAAAAAAAAAAAATGAGACTGCTCCTTTAATATATTGCAGTAATTTTTCTTAATGCTCTTTTTGTAGAGGGCTTTGTCATAGCTAACGATGTTGACAATAAGCGTTGTTACTTGTTGGTCCATCAAGCTAAGCGATTGAACAGCCCATGCATTATGGTGGTTAACCATGATGCTTCCAGCATTCCAAGGCTTTTGGTAGAAAATAACGGAGCCAAAGAAGTCCTCTACTATCACAGAATATTGTGTGATGTACCGTGCAGGTAAGTGTGTATTTATGGATTTGGTACAATGAGTTTCTATTTTGAACTCAAAATTAATTTTTTTCAATGTAAGATTAGTAGTTGGCTAAACCTTACTTTTTTCCATAATTTATTTTGTAATTGTGCCTCTTGATATCTGCTATTAAGCTGTTCTACTGTTTGCTATCTGACACTTTGGGTACAAACAATGCAATTGTTATTTCCTTAATTGTCAAACAATCTTATCGTATTAAGTTTGACTTTAGCTTTGTTAAAGGATACTTGTCATGCTACTTTTCACGTACCTAAAATGAAATCATTATTTTATTATTGCCATTTATATAGCGCCAACAGATTCCGTAGCGCTTTACAATATTATGAGAGGGGATTTCACTATAAATAAGACAATTACAAATAAACTTACTGTAACAATAGGTTGAAGAGGACCCTGCTCAATCGAGCTTACATTCTATAGGAGGAGGGGTGTTAAACACATTAGGACAGGAATTTGCAGTCAAATAAGGTGGGATGCCCTTTAGGAGAGAGCAAGAGACAGGTTTGTGAGGTAGAGGTTATTCTTGGAAGCCATAAGCTTTCCTAAAGCGATGGGGTTTTAAGTCACTTCCCCTAGATGCAAGACTAGGGGAGAGTCTGGCAGTAGGCAGGCTATTCTATAGGAAGGGAGCTGCCCGAGCGAAATCTTGCAAGCGTGAGTTGGCCGTATGGGTGCGGACAACGGACAGGAGGTGGTCACGGGCAGAGCGGAGAGACCGAGAAGAGACATACCTATGAATCTGTGAGGAGATATAAGAGGGACTAGAGTTCTTCAGTGCTTTATAGGTGTGAATTAGTACCTTGAATTGACTCCTATAGCATACAGGAAGCCAATGTAAGGATTGGCAGAGGGGTGAGGTGTGAGAGAGATCATGAGATTTCAGTTATGCATTGTGTTGGTGAAATCGTTGCATATCTATAGATTTTATAAATCTAAAGGTATAGATTTCTTGCAATAGCTCTGAAAAAAGTGCTCTCATCTTCCCTCCAGGCCCACTATTGGCACAGACTTTGTCTGCAGGCATTGCCTTTCCTACTGGCTGTTCTCTGGCCCAGCTTCATTCAATTCATATGCGCGTCAGCAGTACCATGGCAACGCTCCAAACACTTCAGGAGGCTATACACACACCCACTCTAAAGACTCCCAGGCTCCACTGGTAACACTTTATTACCTGGTGAGGTTCCTATGCTCTGTGTACACAGCCTTGCTAACAAGATTACTGTACTGTCTGTGAGCCCACTAGCCAAGATTGTTCTTGTTTGGGGGAAAAAAACAAACAGAATGTCATCTGTCATTCTGTCCAGTGGGCTGACGTGCTGGCAGTGAAGCTAGCACGTCAGGGAAATCATGCCTGAAAACTCCATGAAGTTTCATAGCTTAGTAAAGAACACAATTTTCAACAATTATAAAGTACATATTTAAGTACAGTAAAATTTTAACCTACAGGTTCTCTTTAAGCCAAGTAGTGGGGAAATAATTATATAAGGGGGCTAGGCTCATAAACTGAAAGTCTCTGCATCCACTGTCAAGTGCCATGAGTCTGCTAACATTAGTAAGATTGTAATATTTCAGTAGATTGTTATTCCACAGATCAATGCTTTGATTTATTCAACATAATATCAAGTTGCTGAACATTTTTACAAGTACATGATTGTTCTAAGTGATATACATAGTGATAAAGTGTCACATCAGGTGAGTCTGTATAAGGAAAATCGTTAAAATATGTCCTATCCACTGGCTTCAGTGGCTCTTAAGGCGCACCGCCACCTGTGGAACTACCCAATGTAAATCCCTGAGAGCAACACCTAGAAAAGGAGAAAAGGACCGACTTGGACCCAAGTTACTTCTGGACAGAGGATGCAGTTCAAATTCGATGCCTAACTGGGCATTGTGAGACAAAGCCCCCTCACCCGATCATCTTTCCACTTCTCTACCACCACCCTCCTCCCCCCTATTTTTTTTCCCTTCTTCTTTTGTCTTCATCCAGCCCTCTCATCTCCCTTTCTCCTCTCTATCTTCCTTGCTTCAACATTTCCCCCCAACTATTATCTCTCCACTGGTGGCACCCCCACTTAGGAGGGTAACAATTCCGTACTTATTCACACTCGCAAAACAGAGACTCCACATACAATATAGAAACATTCACCCTCTGTAACAAGGAATATTTCGAAATGGTATGGATCCTTTGGAAGATACCTATAAAACAGTCATGCAATACTTTGTAAGTAGGACTTAAACAGATCAAATGGTGGGGGGGGTAGAAAGCTATATACATTTTATACCTTTAGTGCATTGTTTTAATAACTAGAGAAAGTGCCAATACACTTGTCATTTACATATTTATAAAGTCATCTAAAAAGTGATGGTTTGTGCACGCATGTTCCTCAGTGCCCCTTGCTGCCCCCCCCATCCCGGGCCCTTGCTGCCCCCCATCCCGGCCCTTGCTGCCCCCATCCCGACCCTTGCTGCCCCCATCCCCGGCCCTCGCTGCCCCCCATCCCGGCCCTCGCTCCCCCATCCCGGGCCCTCGCCGCCCCCCCCATCCCGGGCCCTCGCTGCCCCTCTGTGCCCCCCCATCCCGGGCCCTCGCTGCCCCTCTGTGCCGCCCTCCCAGGCCCTCGCCGCCCCTCTGTGCCGCCCTCGCTGCCCCTCTGTGCCGCCCTCCCAGGCCCTCTGTTTCCTCTATCCGGTCTGACCGGAAGCTGTACGTTGTTCAGTAAGCACTTCCTGTCACATAATAGCGTCTTAATTTTCTAGTAATCTATATCGATGTATATTTTCCTGGTTTCTAAGTTCTGCGTAGATTTTCCAACCAAACAACTGTTACCTTACGTGGCTCCTGACTAGTTTTTAAAGCCTATTTAAATGTTTATATTGTAGAGTTGAGTTATGTATCACTAGGAGTATGCACATATAGATATAAATTTTGTTACCTTGCTTAAATTTGCCATGTATGAACATACTGTTTCCAATGTCTAATTAAAAGTCAAACACTCCTGCCTAATAACGTGACGTGACTGTGTTACAGTTAGAACTGTTAGGCAAAATTGACACTGGTCTACAATCGTGAATGTTTGATTTGAAAAGACCTTTTGATCAACAATACAACCTTAATGCATTTGGTTCGGGCCTCATTAATATAATCGATGTTTTGAATGCACAAATCTGTAGGGTTTTTTTTTTTTTGCACAAACATAAAATATATTACTTAAAAGTAAATAAAAAAAAAAAATGTATTGCACAATACTGCACCACAAGTCTGCTTAGACTTCTTTATCAAATGTATGCACACAGCTCAGTCACTGACAACACTGAATGATTTGTACGACAAAGCTGCCTGCGTTAGGAGGGGAGACCCAGGGAAACCTGTAGTAAGGCGATCACTACAAGTTTGTAGATTCTGTCTGCATCCATGCTGTTAATTAAGAGCAGCTCACTCAGTGTCAATGGCTGAGACTGCATACATTTGATAAGGAAATATAGTATGAGGGGTCATGGCTAAGGAGTCATGCTTATGGTTTAGCATTCTGCTTTATTTAAAAAAAAAAAAAGAAAAACAGAAAATTGATCATGCAAAATTAATAAGGCCAAAACCTATGCAATGCATTAAAGTTGTATTGTGCCCAGAGTGGAGCTTGGCAGGGAAAACAACGCTCTGTGCGTAATGACATTTAGGTGGCTGTTTTTTTGTTGTTTTTTTTTTTTGCATTTCTAAAGAAAATGTATGGCTCAGAGAATTTACAGTTACCTGTAAAAGTATGATCTACTGTATTTTGAAATCAATTTTTCATCGAAGATGGCACTGGAAGTATTTATTCCCCTAGTGTGTCAAATTCTGTTTCCTGGCGTAACATGGTCTTTTGTTCTTGCAGTGGAGATGGAACCTTGAGAAAGAATATTGATGTATGGAAGAAGTGGACAACATTAAATAGCTTGCAGCTGCATGGGTATGTAGTGGTGCCCAATAAATGTGTTCCATATAAGTGAAGACTTGTCATATATCCTGTTACACTGCAAAAGGTTTACCTATCGATTTTTGCAGTTGACCTTTTCATTGCAGCTGAATTTGACAGGCTGCATGCAGCCAAGTTCTATTAAATTCTTTTGCAATCTGCTGTAAATTCTTATTAACCTTCAGTGTGCTTTATTTCTAGGTTACAGATTAGGATTGCTACCCGTGGTGTTGAACAGCTGGCAGAAGGGGGTAGAATGGTTTATTCTACGTGCTCTCTGAATCCTGTCGAGGATGAAGCGGTTATTGCTTCTCTGTTGGAAAAGAGCGAAGGCAAGGCAACAAGTTTTCAGCTCTCCAGATACAAAATTAATTTATAGAATGCATAACAGAGAATTTTAATACGCTTTGTAAACATGGGCTTTTTAGTGAACTTAACATCTTTAAAGTAAATGCAAGGTTTAATTGTTTTTTTTACTTAATACAGCAGAGGCTTTATAAACTGCAATATTAGAGTAGAAAATATGTCCGGGTAACACAAGGAAGTAGAGATGCATATGATTTATTTATGATATTGGTTCATTTATACACTCCTTAGACACTGTAGTTGGGGATGATTCTATTTTATTGAAATGCTTTGTGCTATTATAACATTTTATACTTGCTGCAGATACTTTATCTGTGTGTGTGTTAAACATGCTGCAGTCTTAAATGAATACGCAATTTCCAGCAGTAGATGTAAAATGTACATTTGTAAGCACTTTGCAATAGAGAATACTTACTTGAGACAACACCATTAACCTTTTTATTATTTCTGAACATAATGAAATGGATATGTTTCACTGAGTTAGGATATGCCACAAATAATTTATGTCCCTCTAAAGCTATTATCTGTTTTCCCCACCTGGTGGTTAAAGAGTTAAATGAAAAACCAAACAAACCTTTTGAACACTTCCCTCTTTCCAGTGCTGAGGTCTCTTAGTGCTGCCACTGTCTTTACTTGCTCTGATGTCGGCAATCGGGGGGAACCTAATACGCATGCACGGCAAGTGACACACACATTAGACCTTCCTAATAAGAAAGCATTGAATCTATGCTTTCCTGTGGGGGATTTGGAGATGCTGGACATCCTCATGCAAATAGTTAGGACATCTAGAGTCGTTTCTTGAAGTTAAACTCCAGAAAAATGCAGGAAGTGCCTCTGTTTTAGATTGCAGGGCTGAGGGGACAGGGACACTGCACCTAGACAGCTTCAATGAGGAAATGGAGTGGTCTAGGTGCCTGTTGTGTTGTATTAATAAACACATGCTTAAATAAGCCTCTAGCAAAGTAATTTTCACCCCCTAAAATTCAGTTTTCTCCATTAGTTTGCTAAGCATGCTCCTTTCCCTACTATTTCCCTGCCAATATATTGGGGTTTCCTCGAGAGGAATGATATATTTAATTGTAATATTCTACTTTCCCGTGTTCTAGGGAGTCTGGAACTTGCTGATGTGTCCGCAGAGCTTCCTGGTTTAAAATGGATGCCTGGAATCACCCAGTGGAAGGTGAAATGGTTATGGATGCATTTTGACCACCTTGCTTTTTAGTTTTTTAGTTTTATTTTCGTTGTAGTATTAGTTCTCACTCAAGTTTTTATCATCATTAAGATTATGACAAAAGATGGACAGTGGTTTGAGAAATGGGAAGACGTGCCCCAAAGTAGACATACTCAGATCCGTCCTACAATGTTTCCTCCAAAAGATGAAGAAAAATTGAAAGCTATGAATCTAAACAGATGGTAAGATTTTCCTCTTGCTGTTTGAAAGTATTTTGTGTGTGTGTTTTGTATGGCTTATGCATAGTTAGGTGTTCTTTAGAGTACAGGTCATTTCACGATTTTATAAGTAGGAGCAGGGTCAATAAAAAAATAGTTATTGAGCGTTTTAAAATTACTTCCCTTAAATTAGAGAATGCAAATTAAATGAATGCTTTCCATTATATAAAAAAAGAAATCCTTTTAGTATATAGATATATAAGGTATATCCATATAAGATTTGACTATATTTTCCACAAGAACCTCGCAAATGGGTTGTCAGAACTAAAACCAAATGAGATGATCTATGCTTGGCTATAAAACTCTCTTAAAAATACGAAAATGTGTGTTGGTGCTGTGTTGTGATCAGATCTCCATACCATCCACTGTTATTTTAAAGCCTCCGGATATTACCCCATCATCAGAACACAGGGGGATTCTTTGTTGCTGTGCTTATAAAGAAAGCACCCATGCCATGGAACAAGAGACTGCCAAAGGTAAGTTACTGAACACAATACAGGTAATTTAATTGTATAAGCTATGTTGTCTTAGTGTTCTATTTGTACATTTTTTTCTTGGTTTTTCTTTTTAAATTTTTATACTGCATTTGCTTTAGGTTCAATGATTTGTCTTTTTTTTTTTTTTTTTGTGTATTCTGTCAAGAAGTGGTTTTTAAATATTATGTCATTTCTGTATGACATATTGTCTCTAAATGAGCCGTAGAAGCTAGGAAAAGGCCAAGGACATTTATTCAGGCTGCTTTTTTGTGTTTTAAGAGAAATACGGTCTAGCTAAAAACTCCTCCCCTTTCTCTGATAGTTTGGTCTCTTAGCCTAAAAGAATTCCTTGTCATTGGCATGAGACCTCCTAATGTTTCCGCCCGCCATGTGGCAGCTGGGAGCATGTATGCAAACATGTTAAAAGTAGCAACTTGACTTCCATTGCTCTGTTCAGTCTGGTTGAAATCCAGACCAAACTCGGGCATGAATTACAAAATCTGGACATTGTTGGAATGTATGAACAATGCCTGGATTTTGCAGTCCGACTAGCCCTTTACGCACTTTCAGTTGGGAGAAGCAGATATGGCACTGTGTTTTTCCCCGCACTGAAGGACACGGTCATTGACTACAGATTGGATATGTGGGATAGTTTTTGTCTTGTCAGGGTGGAAGGGATGAGTGGGTGGTCAATTGCCCACTAACTTACACTTTTCATTTTTAGATGTGTCCCCTATTTTCAACTTAACATGACATCTGCTCCCCATTTATCATTAAAACAAAAGAAGAGAGGAAAAGGAAATTTATCATTATAAAAGTTCTCTCCAAAATGCCTGCTATTGCGTAGCATTTTTAATCTGTTAGTATTTTAGAAATTTTTGCATATCAGCATAGTCATGGGCAGCATTTTTTGTTTTTGGTTTTTTTTTTTTGGTCCTGGTGGTCCGAATTTCCTTTTTTTAAATTGTTTTTGATATCAAAATTCATCCAAGCAGAACCGTATGGGCTAAATTCTACCATCCCAAAACCCTGCGGAAGTCTATAATCATCTATAATAAGTATAATACAAAAATAATCCTATCTAGCCCTACTCATGGCCGTAGACCAGATAAAATGTTGCATAGGTTAAATCCTTATCTTTGCAAATTTAATCCAAATCTTTGTCAGAGTGCTGACTGGATCCATATTTTGCTGTATCATTGCTAGTATTAGATATTACTGCTTTTTTTCCCAGCAGAATCTTTAACATTATGATATCTTAATTGTAAGTAGTTTAACACTATTGTCACTGCTGAAGGTGGCAATCGATTGTTTTTGTTTTTTTGTTTCTTAGGTGTATAGTACCAGTGGTTCTACACCACTCAGAATGTTTTGCCACAAAGTGCCAATTGGAAGTAAAATAAAATTAAGTTAATGACATGATCATGGCACAACTTGCCTGTAGTTCCCTTCCCTCACAGAAAGGCAGTGATTGGTTAATACTCGGTGGTGTGTTTTTTTTCTTTCTTGCAGCTGCAACGCAGGGCACCTGCTGCAGTGTCTGAGGTGTCTGTGACAGCTGAGGTTACTGAGGCAGTGGAGGCTGCTTCTGAAACTGCAGATGCTCCAATAGTAAAAACAAAAAATGGAGACTCCAAACCTTGCACAAATACTGAGCCAGATTCCAATACAAAGGAGAGTGTGTGTGGGTATGTACAGCAACATGATTTATTCTTCTTCTATCTTTATTATCACAAGTGGACACTTTTATGATTTAACTGACAAATGTCCACAAAAATCTGTTCAATACCTCATATTCGAGCTGCTTCACATTTTAGTCTTTCAGTCTTCAGTCCCCAAAAACACAGACAATGAGATGTAAGCAATGGCAACATTTCCAATCAAAGGTATAGGATTATTCATTTATCTGCCTAGTGACAATGTACAGTATACATTGTCTCATGCATTTGGTGACACATAATGTATGCTGTACTTTGTCTGTCAAAGGTGCTGTTTTGTAATCTAGTCTCTCCATGATCAGCGAGACTGGGTTATTTTTGAATATCTCACTAATAAATCCCAAAATAGTCTTCTAGAGCACCCTGTAGGCATGTGATCAGTGGAACGACAGACTCCATAGATCACCTACCTATCACTGGCAGTCATCGTGAAGATTTTCATGATGCAGCATGCACTTTGGCTTCCTGTAAGTGCTTAATGATACTCGACTGCGTGAAAGTTGTGACTAAGTTATATAACCGAAACCTCTAATTTAACGGTACATCACTGATCTTTTTTTCATAACTCATTTAAGCTTTGCCTTTCCTGTCTTGGCATTATATCACTACAGTGGCATCTGTCAGGGGAGGGATAAATTAGGTAGCACGTAAACAGTCTGTTCTTAAATTTCATGTGTTGAAAGCAGGAAAAATGGGCAAGTGACTCTGACTAGTCATTTAGCCATCACTATTTGGCTCTTGTCAGCGCGTCTTTAAAATGGCAAGTCTTTTGGTGGTAGCTACCAAAAGAAAGGAAGGACAACCGGTGAACCGGCATCAGGATCATGGGTGCCCAAGGCTGGTCCAACGGAAGAGCAGCTACAATTGCTGAAAAACTTAATGCTGGCTGTGGCAAAACTAACTTCGCCACTTGTGCCTGGAGAGGACTAATTGCCGGCCTCTTGCCATGTGACTATGTCCCCTGGGAGACTTTGCCATTTAAAAACACTATTTGGACTCATTGGTGTTTTAAAAGACTGTTCTGGCTCGCTAACTGAAACTGGCTGCTTTGTCCCTTCTCAACCTCTCATCAGCCCGTGCTAAACTTTAACCCCATGGTGATTTTATTCTGTTCATGGGATCTGAGCGCTCAGATTAAAGCTATCTGGGGATAGCTTGAATGTGGGGGTTCTGTTCAGTATGATAGGAATTATGATTTTTGAGTATGTTTGTTTGTATTTGGAGTATGCTGATTCTGAAAAAAGCTTTATGTGAATGTGATGTATACTTTTAAAGTTATGAATATTATTTTAAACTGTATATTTTTCTGCCTGTGATAATTACATTAACCCATTGTGTTCAGTAATCATATCACAGGCAGAGGGGAGGATTTTGTGGGAATGAATGGGAGTGTCTTACTGTATATTACGTGTTTGATTGGCTGTTCCACAAAACCATGTGGGTGGTACTATTGTGTGTAACTGAGTATATAAGAACAATAAATCCACAGCTCTGTCTGTTCATGTTTGACCCTCAACATAGAGCGTCGTCCCATGATTAGGAGCTCCGTTACACTGGCCATGATAGAAAGGTGTCATAACACATAGTACATCAGTTTGCTGAATAGTCACGGACTTGTTAGAGTACACCGCCGAAAGCACGTTCAGTGAGTGGTAAAAATAACTATAGAGCAATGGAAGAAGATTGCCTGGTCTGATGAATTGGGTTACCTTTTTAGATCACGTGGATGACTGGATGTGTGTGCGTTGTTTACCTAGGGAACAGATGGCAGTGGTTCTACACCACTCAGAATGTTTTGCCACAAAGTGCCAATTGGAAGTAAAATAAAATTAAGTTAATGACTTCCCACTATGGGAAGGAGGCAGTCTTATAATCTGGACAATGTTCTTCTAGGAAAACATTGGTCCTGGCATTCATGTGAATGTTCCTTTGACATGTACCAACTATGTTGCGATTGTTGCAATACACATACACCCCTTCATGGCAAAGGTGTCCCTGATTGAAGTGACCTTTTTTCCTAGCAGGATAATGCACCCTGCCACACTACAAAAAAATGTTCAGGAATCGTTTGAGGAACATGACCGTTCAAGGTGTTGCCTTGGCCTCCAAATCTCCCAGATCTCAACCCTATTGAGCATCTGTGGGATGTGCTGGAGCAACAAATATGATCCATGGAGGCCCCATCTCGCAATTCGCAAGACTTAAAGCATCTGCTGGTAATGTCTTGTTGCAAAATACCACAGGACATGTTTAGAGGTCTTGTGGAGCACACGCCTCAATGCTTTAGAGCTGTTTTGGCCAACCCAAGGGGAACCTACACGATATTGGGCAGCTAGTTTTAATGTTGTGGCTGATCAGTATACATTGTTTCCAAATATATTGATATTTTGATATCCGAGAAGTGCTTTGTCTTTCTGAGTACTTGCAATCTATAGTGACTTGTTTTTCTATTTTGTAGACCACCGCCAGCCAAAAAAATGAAACTCTTTGGCTTTAAAGAAGATCCTTTTGTATTTCTCTCTGAAGATGATCCAATATTTCCTCCCATCCAGTAAGTGACTTTTTTTTTTTTTTTTTTAATACACAACTTATCAAATTACCTATGTAATATTGGTAATACCAACCTTGTTATTGCATAATGTGATTTAGTATCACAAGGAAAATAGTATTCTTTGAAGTACTGCTTTAAAGAGCAGTCTCTGTGTAAAACGGATTACCTACTGGTTTGACATCAGTTGAGACACCGCAAAATGAAATATATTGTGTTTGTGAGAGAGAGACGCGCGCAAAAAATAAAATGACTTAATAATGCAAGCTAAATGAACTGTAAACTCTAAAATGTATACTAATGTGTGTTAGATTGTGATTACTATCTTACTAGCAGAATGAGCATACTAACTATTAGACGTGCATTAGTTGGAATGGTTTGTTTGATTCATCAGACATAGAGTACATTTTGATAGTTTATAAAACTAATAAATTTTAAAATCCAATCAAAAGGGATATGAGTCATCAAATAAATTCCTTTAAGGAAGAATTAAACAAATGTGCGTGTTTCCTAAACTCTTTAGCTTTATAATGGTGATGGACTTATAGTGTGTAAAAAGCCATGCATATTAACAGAAAATTATATAATTAGACATATTGAGTATTTTTCTGTAGCTGCGCTAGTTTTGTGACAATAGGAAAACCATGGAAAAGTTTTATACATATTTTATTTATATATATATTTTTTTTCATGTTAAATGAGTGATATGATTGTAAGCAGTGGTGGATTAAATTTTAAAATGGTGGGTGACCCAATGTAGCATGTCTCCTTGTTCGACACCATAAACCTTGGGAATGGGAATGTGGGAAAAGAAAATCGTATATGACTACATGTTTTCAACTAGTTACATTGCCTCTTAGATGGACTTCTGTCTCATTATACAGCTTGAAATAGTCAGCTGTAATTGGCTCTGTATAACTACAGTTAATTTTCATTTTTCTGCTAATTAAAAGATGCTTATAATTTTGGCAGGAAATTCTATGCATTAGATGAATCTTTTCCAAAGAGAAATTTACTGACTCGAACTCAGGAAGGAAAGAAGAGGCAACTATATATGGTCTCTAAGGAACTGAGGAATGTGTTACTTCACAATAGTGAGAAGATGAAGGTAATTTGTGTTCCTTTCTCCCTTGTCCCTTAACTATATTACATGGTCTACTTTATTTGCCTGTTTTAGGTATTTAAAAAAAATATAAAAAATTACTGATGCCTGCTTTGAAATAGTTCCTTCAAATGGCCTCAAGTGCCACATATTTCCTAAGTTAAGCAAACAAAATACCCAATGTTTTCCTCAAGACAACGTTTCTGGGGGGGGAGAAGCAAGTGTCGGAGCTGATAGAACACGCTTATGAAGACCTCTGGGTCTACAGCATCTTGTCAGTTGAGGCACACATTGCCTCCCAACCCATTCCCAGTGGAGATGGGACAGAGATCCAAAAAAGCTAAGTCTGCGATCCAAGCAGGCTTTATGAGAGGAGCCCACCTTAGACAAACTGGATAGTTTCCTTCACTTTGGACTCTACCACCCATCCTCGGGCGAAGGCAATGCAATCCCATCTAAAAATGGAGATATCAAAGCTCTCCGGGAGAAGATTAAGCTACTACTGAGAGAGGAGCTGAATACACCAGCAGGCCACATCACAACAGTTGGGGGGAATGTGAGTAACTGTACTCAAACTCGTGCTGCCAGTGCAGCACTGCCCAGGAAGCGCATCTAGCAACCATCTGAGGAGTGGCCAGTATAGTTATCCCTAGGCTGTAATGTAAACACTGCTTTTTCTCTGAAAAGACAGTGTGTACAGCAAAAAGCCTGAAGGGAAGGCGTATACTCACTAGAACAAATGCTATAAGCTGTAGTTGTTCTGGTGACTATAGTGTCCCTTTAAGTCATACAGCAACCTGAGTTTTCGTTACAGGCTTGCTTATGATTACTACACTATGAATGGGCGCGGGGCCGCAACACATGGCGGCGGGCACCTGGTCGCAGGGCTGCGACCCCTGCGACCACGGTATGCACACACACTTAAAGGACCACTACAGACACCCAGATCACATCAGCTCAATGAAGAAGTCTGGGTGCCAGGTCCCTCTAATTTTAACCCTGCAGCTGAAAACATAGCAGTTTCAGAGAAACGGCTATGTTTCACTGAGGGTTAATCCAGCCTCTAGTGGCTGTCTCATTGACAGCCGCTAGAGGAGCTGGAGCGATTCTCACTGTGAAAATCACAGTGAGAAGACACTGAACGTCCACAGGAAAGCATTGAGTAATGCTTTCCTATGGGCGGTTTAAATGCGTGCTCTCCTCTTGACGCGCATGTGCATTTGGGGCGGAGGGCTCCCCAGCGCCAAGGGAGTCCGGCGCTGGAGAAAGGTAAATGCTGAAGACACCGACGCATACACACTAGCTAACAGACACACACACACACACTCACAAAACATACACACACTCACTAACAGACATCAAACACACACAGTAACACACTCACTGACACTCAATAACAGACACTCACTAACGCAGACACACTCACTAACGCACTAACACACATAATATACATACAATATGAGGTGGAGTGTCTTCTTGTTTACAATAAATGGAACAGTGACAAAGCTAGAGCTTATGGATAAAGCTCAATCATCCAGCATTGTGGGATTTGGGTTCCCACTCCCTTCTTTATACTGCCAGGAGGTGATGGATAGTAAGATGTCCTCTCACAGGTAGGTATAAATAATAAATAAGTGCTTTATTAGTAAAGTGCACAAGAATATAAAAAAGCAGAAACCTTACAATTGAAGGTAATCTTGACTATCTCTTCAAGATTACCTTCAATTGTAAGGTTTCTGCTTTTTTATATTCTTGTGCACTTTACTAATAAAGCACTTATTTATTATTTATACCTACCTGTGAGAGGACATCTTACTATCCATCACCTCCTGGCAGTATAAAGAAGGGAGTGGGAACCCAAATCCCACAATGCTGGATGATTGAGCTTTATCTATAAGCTCTAGCTTTGTCACTGTTCCATTTATTGTAAACAAGAAGACACTCCACCTCATATTGTATGTATATTTTGTTTGTTGTGAGGGCGAGGGGTACTCACTAAGGTGTTTGAGAATCTCTTGGTTTACTTTGACATTAGTGTGCTTCACTATCAATACTGTATTTGTTATTTTTGCACTAACACACATGTCTTTTTTAAATTTAATCCCCCCAGCCTCCTTACCTTTTGGAGAGCTGAGGGGATTCCCTGGGGTCCAGTGGTGCTGCTGGGCTCCTGAGCGGCCGGTCCTGCAGGCGGGCGAGGGAGCACTCTCCCGAGTGCTTCCTCTTCTGCTCCCGAGTCTGCCACATAGAGATGCCGGCGCCGGAAGATGTCATCATCCGGTTCCGGTAACAGTGCGGTGTGCGAAGGAGCTGAAGAGGAAGCACTCAGGGGAGAGTGCTCCCTCGCGCGCCCGCCTGCCGGCTGTCAGCAGGGCCAGCCTCGGGGGGGCCTGGGTGCGGCTCCTGGGCCCCAGGAGAAGAGGCTGGCCCCGGGTAATGACCCCGGTATGTACGCCACTGCGTGCATGCGCATTAGAGCTCCCCATAGGAAAGCATTGAAAATTCAAAATGCTTTCCTATGGGGAAATGAGCGACGCTGGAGGTCCTCACACAGCGTGAGGACGTCGAGCGACGCTCTTGCACATGTTTTCTGTGCCATAGAGCAGGAAGTGCCCTCTAGTGGCTGTCTAGTAGACAGCCACTAGAGGTGGAGTTAACCCTGCAAAGTAATTATTGCAATTTATAAAAAAAACTGCAATAATTACACTTGCAGGGTTAAGGGTAGTGGGAGTTGGCACCCAGACCACTCGAATGGGCAGATGTGGTCTGGGTGCCTGGAGTGTCCCTTTAACTTGGCAAAAATACAAGGCCATAACTAAAATGTAAGGGTCCACACGTCATGGGAAATTCCCTGACTTAGGACAAGATGGCATCTTAAAGTCTGAGCATCTTTATCTACTTAGGGTTACCGCAGTATATTATGTAATGAAAGAGTCATAGCATAGCCTTGAAGCTTGTTTATGCATTATTGTAATTATATTTTGTCTAGGACCAAATGGCGTAAACATATTATGCACTGAAAGTAGGTAAAAGGTTATTGCTTAAAGAAACATGTATGAAAAACAATGTTCCATTTCTAATACCTTGTCAGTTTGCAATATCTCTTAAAGACAAAGTACACAGTTTGAGAAATACAATATTTTAATTTTCCCATAACAGTGGTGATCACAATGACTTTTTATCATGTTTATCAAGTACCTGCATACCATAAATAAAATAAATAAAAAAAGCATGTGTTTCTGTTTTGCATTTTCAGAATTGCTTCTTTGATTCCATAATTTTGTCTTTGGAGCTATGCTTTTTTAGGGTGTCATTCAATCATGTTTAACGACGGAAATATTCAGTCATGATTCCCTTTTATTCCAGAAGTTGTGTCCTTAAGGGTTTAACAGTTGTCTATTAAGGATTTTGTCACAGTATTGCATATCTTTAATTGCCATATAAAAGAAGTTACAAAGGGTTATTTCCTGAAATATGTTCGCCTTTCTAGTTAACACATAAATGTTTCAATTAGCTGATTAAGAAGAAAATTTTGAAAGCATGAAAACTAATTTAGCACATTTAAAGCTTCTGAAAAATTTAGAGATGATGAACCTTAAGTGGTTTTAGTTCTCCAATTTTACTGTTAATTTTATGCCAATGGTTCCAAACGTAATCAGCAGTGTGACTTGATTTAAAAAAAAAAAAAAAGTTTTGCCTCTGATTAAAGCAATATGCTACACTATAATAATTCTTCTTTCTTTTCATAGGTTATTAACACCGGTATCAAAGTGCTGTGCCGGAATAACGATGGTGAACAATATGGATGTGCTTATAGATTAGCCCAAGAGGTACATTTTAAATTGTGACTGTTTTTACTTTATGTTCAATACTACAATCAAAATGTAAAGTAAGATGAGTTTCTGTCATAGGTGGGGGTGCATTGAGTCTTTAAAAAAAAAAAAAAAAAAATGCATACATTATAGGGTGCTGCCGGGGCCAAAATATACAAAATACAGAATCCAGCGCACTCGCTTATTCACTAAACAATGATTTACAATCTTAGAGATTGTAATAGTTTTATTTTTTTTAAAAAACCTCCTCACCTAGGCAAAAAATAATGGGGGTCTAGTTACATTATATGATCATATATTGCAAAAGCCTGCCACACTGTCAATGTACCCCATTCTTGGCAGGTCCTACATTAGCAGCCTAAATCTTGCTCTTATGAGATTAATCCACTTACTTGGGAAATACTTCCTTACTGGGACTCTCTGCAAGTCGAGGCTAAATAGTCATGGAATGAGGCACCTGTGAAAGGGAGGGGTGCAAAACCAAGGAGTTGGCCTGGACTCCCAAATATACAAACACAACCAAGAGGGCTGCACTCACCTAAACATGCATACATTATAGGGTGCTGCTGGGGCCAAAATATACAATATACAAAATAAAGAATCCAGCGCACTCGCTTATTCACCCCCATTATTTTTTCCCTAGGTGAGGTGTTTTTAAATAAAACTATTACAATCTCTAGGATTTGAAATCATTTTTTAGTGAATAAGTGAGTGTTCTGGATTCTGTGTGTGTGTGTATGTATATATGTGTGTGTATGTATGTGTGTGTGTGTGTGTATATATATATATGTGTGTATATATATATGTATATATATATATATATATATATATATATATATATATATATATATATATATATATATATATATATATATATATATATATATAGTGTGTGTGTGTATATGTACATACATACACAAAAAAATTGTTTCTTGGCACTCACCCTTTCATTTATATAATCCAATGTAGCCTAGGTGTAATCCCACGTTGAAAATATGTACACAGAAAATAAAGAGATGCACTCTTAGGACTTAATAAAAGAAAAAAAGGAGGTAGTTTATTCCAATAGGTATAGCATCAAAAATTGCCGACGTTTCGACCCATTCGGGTCTTTCTCAAGGTCAATGTACCTGGCTACAAAAGAGATAGATAGATAGATATAGATATATATATATGTGTATGTGTATGTGTGTATATGTATATGTGTATATGTATATAGAGAGAGAATATATATATATATAGAGAGAGAGAGGCTATGGGGTGGGGAAACCACCACCACTACCCCACAAAAAGGTTACAGAGGTACAAGGGGCATAACCCCACAATAAATATAGAAAAAAAGAGACGAAAAATGGGGCAGACAGTCCACTCACAAAAAAGTGGGTGGAATGCTTAGCCTCATTCAAAGTACCTCATAATGTAAATAGTCACATAGAAGAGGACAAACAACCTTTATTAGAAAAAAATGGTATATAGTCCAAATACTATTACCATACACTAAAATAGTGTATTGATTATAAGTTAACCACCAAACTTATAAAAGCCTGGGAGAGGCTAATCCTGCAAGGTATGTTTGACTTAATAAAGGTGTAAAAATACACCTAAAATAATAAATGGGTAACAAAGCAGGTTAGTCTAAATCCATTCTAGGAAAGGACCCAACTGGGTAAATGGATAGAAAAAGGATAGTCTTAGAGCAGTGTCTGAGAGAATCTGGAAAGGGCAGGGTTAATAGCAACTAATGGGTCGCGCCCAAACTAATATCAAGTAGCTTATACTAAAGAGAAAAGGAGCTAATACCCCACAAAGAAAGGAAAGATAGAACCCCCTCACCCTTGAGTCACCCTAAAAAAACTAACTATCCTAAGAGAAACAGCAAAACTAACTGCTGCTTCGTGGCAGCCTATCCAAATCCCTAAGTCTGTATCAGGAGAAAATATAGGCGCAAACTCATGCGCTGTGGAAACCCAGGTAAATGAAAGATGAGAGTAAAGAAAATCAATTGAGTATAATAGCATCGGCTAGAAAATATCTCGACGCGCGTTTCGGCGTTTTAGATACGCCTTTGTCAAGAGCTACCTGGTAAGTGACACGGGAAGCAGTTATAAAGGGGATATAGACACACCCTTCAATTAAAGCCCTCCAATCAAAAGACCACAGGTTGTGAAAGAGTGACAGGTGACCTCCCCTGCATATTGAACCAATCGGAGGAGGTGGGAGTGGTCACCCTATTCACTCAGTATACACTAATGGCAAAAAACAAAACAAAAAAAAACCCTCTAAATAAAGAGTAGATACATGTTGCAATTAAGGCTCAAAGCTAAAGTAAGTATGTTTTTTTTAAAAAAAGGTAACAAAACATCAAAGCAGATTAGCACAGTAACAACATTCATCCAGAAAGGAGTATAAGGATGCAAGGTTAAATGATAATAAAAATAATAAATATTCAGTTCAAAGGCTAGAAAGAATGGCAAATAATCGCTTTAAGGGTATATTGAGAAATAATAAAAGCCGTATAAGCCTTACTAAACTCCAGGTGTTATATCAAACGAGACTTTAGAGAATAAAAACCATATAGACCTTGCTAGACGCCAAGTGTGTATTGAAAATAAGCTGTTTAAAGGAGACTCACACCATAAAAAGGTTAAGTTTAATACCTGTGTATATAAACGATTGACTGGTATATCTATATAAATGTTATATTGTATATAGACCGGGCTTGCTAAAGAGTAAAGTAACTCAAAAGGAAGGGTTACAGAATATCCTTTATATGACACATTAACATCGATGTCCCATGATCCACTTGCCAGTATTAAAGGTTGTAACCATACACTGTATACTAAAAATGATCACAGGGAAAGATGAATGTGCCAATAGGAAGACCGATTATATTATATGTATTATGCAATATAGGAAAAAACAGATTATAAGAGATATAATTTTATTTAGTTAAAATTAGATGAAATTTATTAAAGGCAAAGAGCACTAATTCAAATAAATGGAGAAAAAGAAAACCCCTCATTGAGTCCTCTTGGATTGAGGGTATTAAGTTTATAGATCCACCTGCATTCTTTCTGTACTTTGAAGAGTGTCACTATGTAACCATTAAAAGGGTGACCCAAAGTAAAGTGTGTTAAAAGCATTTCACATACCATGTCAGGATAATGGGCATTAGTTAGAATATCTAATAGTGATAAACTAATGACTTAAAAGAGGAAAGTTAAAGCTATTACGATAAAGGCTCCAAACACAGAGAAGGACCATGGGCATGCATGTAAAGAAGATAGCATCAAGAGGCATATACAGCAGGTCATATATATGCCACAGGCATATTATAGATATAAATAAAAAATAAAAATGGTAAAATTAATAATAAAGAAAAAGCAACAAAAATATTAAAGAAACATGGACAGCACAATATTTTCGTTAAGTCCTCTTGGTGTCACTGTATCTAATCTATGAATCCATTGTGCCTCACACTGAAGTAGCTTCTTCGATCTGTCACCTCCTCTGGGCCTCGGGGGGACATGGTCAATGGCCATAAAATGTAGCATAGGGAGTCTATGTTGCATATGTAAGAAGTGTTTAGCAACTGGCTTGTCACTACGTTGATTCCTAAACGCTGTCGTTTTGGTCGACCGATGTCCCCTTATGCGTTCTCTCAATGTCAAATCGGTCTTGCCCACATATGAGAATCCGCAGGGGCATGTGATCATGTATATCACATGGTCAGTGGTACAAGTAATATAATGTGGTATTTTGATTTTCTGACCACTATGGGGATGAGCAAATGTCTTACCACTGACCATGTGACCCCACGTCACACATCCACTGCATTTGTAGCAGCCTTTCTTGGAGATAATCTCAGGTTTACGGTAGCAAATTATTGGGTCACTTTATATATATATTCCAAATTCATGGCCACGTGTGACTTTTTATTCAGTATATGTATAGTGTATTATTATAGGGTACAAAAGCTAGATGTGTGCAGTTGTACGTGTTCTAAAGCAAGTTGCTTCCTTGTGAACCCTATAGCCCTGGTTGCTGTATTTGTGTTTCAGCATCTGTAAATCAAGCTATAGAGTGATTTGTTTTTCCATTAACTAAATAAAGTCTATTAAAAGCCACAGCTGCAATACTGTCACACTAACAGAAACCAAGATGCACCACTTTTAAAAGTTTGAACCTACAAAAGCACAATATCTTTTGTAGAACTCAACTAGTTTCCTTTCATATTATTTATTATATATTATAAAATATTTCACCAGGAAGGCTACATTAAGACTTCTCTCGTTTTTAAGTATGGTTTCAACCAGTCTATAAGATAAGAAAGATCCATTTCTGTGTAATACTGTAGATGCAGAAACTTTAATATGTTTTAATTTAATCATATGATATTACTATTTAATGGATACTTTATATAGAACATTACTAGTGTCACTTAAGATTGGTATCTATGAAAATAACACTGGTGTCTAAATATTTAGGTCTGGCACCCAAAGACTACTAAAAACAATGAACCCCACATCAAGTCATGCTGCTTCCAGACTGCAAATGTGTTTTATAAAGCACACTTTCCCTATGCTTATATTTGTATCAGAGTGTTTATGTATAACACTTTTTTTAAAATGCTGTGTGGGAAAAGCCAAGCTCTGTGTAAATGTTACATATGCAGGATAATTAATTAAACACCGGATTTTGTCAGAATGATGCCAAGTGCTCAAAGTGCATTAAGACCTACCAAGTGCATTAGCACTGGAAGATTGTGAGTCTTGCAGTTAGGCCAAGAATGCAATTCAGATTTTATATTGTTTTAGAGCAGGTACAAAAAACCGTGTGTACATATTGTGATTCCATGATTAGTAACAAACAATCAGTCTGTGTATTTTAATGTGTTGACTTCCTTTGACACCTGGGTAAGCTTGAATGCAAATTATCTATGTTCCTCTGTAGATCATCAGTTGCATACATGGCTTCGACTGAATACATGTTAAAGCCAAGTTTTCCTTGCAAGATTAGAACTGTGATCCTTGTATTAAAATAATATATTTTCTTACTTTAGTGTCTGAGCAGGTCAGATGTATTGCATTTGTGGGAGAAGAAAAACATGTTTTCTTCTAGTTATTACTGTGGGATAGCTTTTTGGCAATCAAAGAAGTTTAGTCTAAAAGGGGCACTCTAAGGGGGGAGGAGAACCGAGAACAGTCTAATGAGCGGGTGTGCTTATTGAAGTGCCCCTTTAAATGTTTTTCCATAAACATTTTTTGTGCTGTGCATTGTGTATATTACATTGTAAGGCTGCATGGCAGGTTTTGTATTTTAACATGTTTTCTATTCCTTGCAATCTAGGGCATATATAGCCTTTATCCTTTCATCAGATCAAGAATTGTAAGTGTATCTGTAGATGATATCAAGATCCTTCTAACTCAAGAAAATCCATTCTTGAGTAAATTTAGCAAGGAGACACAAAAACAGGCAGAAGACCTAGGTAAGGAATCTTGTGAAACATATTTCATGTTTTGTATGTTATTCTGTATGCGCGCATGTATGTTTTTGTTTTTTGTTTTTATATATTTTATACTATAATATCTCATCTTGATAGACAATGAAGTAATCCTGGTACATGGAAAAAAATTAGCTTGGTTTTCCTTAACAATTTATATATATAAAAAAAGTTATTATCTTTTCAGTACGTTATCATGGGACTTTATCAGCAATTTGCTGTGCTCCCACCCTTCTAAAAAAAAGATGAGGTACCAGACTGTAGCGGACCCAGGGTAACCCCACTGGTTACCTCAGCTAATTCGCTTCCTTCAGCCACTCAGGAACCACTTCGAGTTTAAAGAGATCCATTTCTCCTCCGGTAACTGGACGACACACATTTCTGAAGGGACATCACTGACTGAACTGTTTATTTTTTCGTCACACATGGTTTTACATGCAGAGACCCTCACATGGGGTCTCAAATACAATACACCAGGGGTTTCAATCCCAAGAAGCTGATGCTGGGGATGGAAGAGGGACAAAGCAGCTCCAGTTCAAACGTCCTGCTGTAACCAGAAAAGGGAGGGGGAGAGGCACAGACAAGCAATACTTTTCTATCTGGTTTCATATTTACTTGTTTCTACATTTGCTTTAATGTTGGGGCTGTGAGCCCTCTGCCCTGCAATACCCATCAATTCATGCATAATTCATGCATGTCTAGGTCCGATGGGGAAACTTCCAACTCCGCTATGCCAACAAATTCAGAATAAATCCACATAAGTGCATATGCATTAAACATACTTTTTCACATTTTGTTAGTTCATCAAAATATTTTATTGCCAACTTTTTTGTTTAGTTTTAGCACTTCGTTAGAGGTAATACAATTGGATCAAGAAAGCTTTAAATGTTTTTCACACATTAGACTTTCTTTATTTTGACTTCTTAAGTGATGGTAAAACTGCATGCACTATGTTGCATTTGCTGTTTTATTTTGTGCAACCAGCCTTCGTTATATAACGTGAAGCTAGACATGCCCTGGTTGCTGGCTGCCATTTCATGTGTAAGTAACAGAGAGCAGCCAAAGTGAACACGTTTCCATTTTACTGCGTAATGTGCACAAAAATTGTTTCATTTTAGTTTACATCTATTTTGTATTTCAGGCACTAAATGGTCCAGAATTTAGTCTAATTTTCAGCTGTTACAGAACACTACTGAACTGCTGAAATCCAGACTGACTGAATGTGCTAGCCAGCAGCCACATGAAAACCGTTAAACCAAACATTTTAGGGGTGATCAATAAAACACCAATATTGCTATTTTGCAGAAGATTATCTCCTCCACTAATATTAACCAGGAGATTTTTTTTTTCATCTCCCTTTTTTACTTCCTCTGCAAAAGACCAGGAGAGATTGATGCATACGTTTCATAACTTGTTTGCACCTTCAAGTATGATGAGTCAATTTAACCCTTTAGAAAGTGTTCTTCTCCATTAAGATCCACAGTATGTTTTGAAGGTAGTATTTAATCTCTCATCTAGAAAGAAATTAATTTCGTTTTTTTCATGTTTTTCAGTTATGGGAAGCATTGTCTTAAAATATGAACCTGACCCACTGTAAGTAAAACATGTATTATTTTCTCTTTTACAGTTCATGAAAATGTTGCTTTACAGTTTACTGAGCACTCAAGTTACGTTTATTTTGACCCCAAAAAATGCATGAGTTATGCATTAAACTATTAGTGACAAATGTACTATATGCTCAACCAATAAAACCTAACTGTGTGATATACACACCCACCCCAGTTAACAGTGGAGAGCTAGAGGCTAAAAACCACACAGTTAAGTTTTATTGGTTTAGTAGCATGTTAAGGTGGGAGGAATTTACACATAGCTGGTAGCAGCTGTTCTGACTTATTAATTTGATTTTGCACTTTTAAGCGCCTGTTGCACAAATACACACTGTCACTTTTACTGTATACATTATGCTCAGCTGGTTAGTTGCTTAAAGGAACACTATAGTATCAGGAGCACAAACATGTATTCCTGATACTATAGTGATGAAATCACTATTTAGGTTCCCAGACCCATGCTTCTGTTTGAAAGGGTATTTTGCTTATTTCCAGTGCTGCGCCGGTCTCTCCACAGCTGGCCCTGCCTCTGTGACTGAGATAATCAAACCTAATGATCTCTGTAGGAAAACATTGCGAGTCTAATGTGTGTGTATGGCAAAACGCCACGATGCGTCACTCTGCTTCTCACCTCTAGTGCTGTCTGAGTGATGGTTACTACAGATGTTACTAGGCAATAATGTAAATACTGCCTTTTCACAGAAAAGCCAGTGTTTACATTAAAAGTCTGCATGGATAGGCTATTCAGAAATCAGAATAACCACAGTAAGCTCTAATTGTTATGGTGACTCTAGTGTCCCTTTAAAGTGTGCCTTGTGAAAGATTACTTGCACGAATTTTATTGTAAAAAGTAGAAACATTGGTTTGCATGCTCTAATTACTTTGCAAAATTATTTCTTGTTCTTTAATTAGGAAACTTGATACTCTCCAGTGCTCTATTGTTCTTTGTGGCTGGAGGGGAAAAACCTCAATCCGATCTTTTGTGCCAAAAAATGAGAGGCTGCATTATCTAAGAATGATGGGCGTGGAAGTATTTAAAGAAAAAAAGGAAGTCCCAGAGACTAGGTCGGCTGAAACTGGCCAGCAGAGGGAAGAAGATGCACATATAAAGGAAGATAATGAAGATCCACAGGGAAATCAGGATTCAGGTGCTGTAAATATTGGAGAAGACACAGATGACCTAGGTCAAGTAGAACCTTTATCTGAAGATGAAGAAAAATGTGCAGTGGATTCTAACCTAGATATCACAAAATCCAGTGGGGACGAAGATGAAAAATTAACAGAATGATTTAAACAGTGGCCACAATGTATCATAGATTTATTGTTGCACAAGGTGCAGTTTATCTGTAAAGGACAAACTAGTTGTTTGTCATTAATATTATTGCAGCCCTCCCTACCAGTGCTATATTTTGAACAGTAAAATACTTTTAAAGACTTTTTTTTTTTTATTTGTCTGTATCATCCCAAATACAACTTAATACAATGTGAATTTGCTTATTTTAATAAAGAATTTAAGAGGTTTTTTTTATTTATTTTTATTTACTGGTTTAGTTGCCTGTGTCTGTAGTTTAAAAAACAAACATAACAAAGTAATCCATATTGTATGTGAAACTGAGAAAACTATGCATTTTCTCTGACAATCAAGCTTCTTAATGCCATTTTGTCAAATATAGATACTAAATCGGAGTGGAAAAATAAGCAACATTCCAGTACAAACACATTACAATTAATCCATGTAAAACAATGCTCTCTGTAACGGATCACCTGGCACCCCGACTGGGTACCTCCGTTGAAGGATGCTCCTAGCGCTTCCTGAGGACTCCAAGCACTGCAGCAGACACCACAACCACCGCAGACTCCGCAACCGCTGTAGCTTGACTGGAGCCTCACCGTCTTCCTTCCACCCTGGATAAGCTTCTGTCCTCCAGGACCGTGTGGGAAAGACCTCTTCCTTCAACCCTGTATGAACCTCCAGCATCCAGGACTGTGTGGTGAAGACCTCTCCTCCAAGGAGAGCGTGTCAGGAACAAGCTCTTAAAAGAGCTAAGTGATTCAAGCTCAGGGGAGTATGCAGAGCATCACAATCCCCAGTGTGATTATAACAGCTCCCTCCAATAACGAGACAAGGCTACATTTAGAGGGATCAAGAAGAACTGTCTAAACCTTTATTTCCCTTGGGACCAGCCCATAGGGTCACCACATTAACATTGCTGTGAAAACTCAATAAAATCACACAGTCAAACCATAGCAGGCAACACACAGTGACTTATCACAACACAATGGCACATTTTTAAAGGGGAGGTGGAGACAATATTTAACAGAAAATATCTCACGTGCCTGCACACAGTAAAGGAGTTTAAGCATGCATGGGATAGGCATAAGGCTATCTTAACTATAAGATAAGGCTAGGGACTAATGAAAGTATTTAGAAGGTTGGGCAGGCTAGATGGGCCGAATGGATCTTATCTGCCGTCACATTCTATGTTTCTGTGTTTCTATATCTGGATAATTCAGACCCCCTCGTTGGTATTTTCTAGATAAATTTTTATTTTACTAATTCTCGTTTTATTTAGATTGCCAAATATAGGGCTAAAAGGTAGATTGTATCATAGTAAGCCAGCTATCTGGGATTTGCAAAGGTATCATCCTAAATAGATATAACCATTTAGGAATGATATATGAATTGATTATATTTATTCTACCGGACCAAGAAGATTCTAGCTTACGCCACTCTTTTAACTTTATATTTGTATATTTTAAGAGAATCAAAACATTTCCATAATTTTACTAACTTGTGTTGAAATTGTAACGCCCAGATAGGTAAAGGTGTTATCAGACCATATAAAATCGTATCTGTCTTTTAAATCTCCCGGATTATAATTGTCAACCTTATTAATTGTAGTGGTTGATTTTGATACGTTTAATTTATAATTAGATACTTTTGAGTAGCCATTTATCTCAAGCATAAGATTAGGTAGAGAGATTTCTGAGGCCGTGAGTGTTTGTAGTATATCATGAGCATACAATAATATTTTTGCTTCTAAATTTTTTGTTAGGAAGCCCTTAATAATTGGATTTGATCTGATATTAATTGCTAACGGTTCCAAAGTAAGAATATAAAGAAGAGGGGATAAGGGACAGCCCTGCCGTGTGCCATTTTGCACATTAAACCAACTAGATAGAATATTTACGCCTACAGTTCTTGCTGTGGATTCAGAATAAAGGGCCAATATAGCATCGTGGATCCAGCCCACGAAGCCAAAAGAAATCAATACTTCGTCTAGGAATCCTGAAAAGCCTTCTCCGCGTCCAGTGACACGGTCAGCAGAGGGACTCCCTGACCCTCCGCACTATCCAGTATGTCTATAATCCTTCTGGTGCAGGTCTCTGAGGATCTTCCCTGAATAAATTCTACCTGGTCTGGATGGACAACTCTTTCCACACATGGTTTGAGTCTCTGTGTTAAGATTGCTGCATATATTTTCATATACGTGTTAATTAATGAAATTGGTCTATAATTTCTAACATCTGTTGGATCTTTAGTAGGTTTTAAAATTGGGAGAATATTGGCTTGTAGTAGTTCTCTTGTTTTTTTTTTTGTTTTTTTTGCCAGTTCATTAAATAAGGCCGTAAGAGGCAGAGTTATTTCTTTTATCGTGATTTTATAAAAAAAAAAGGTTACTAAATCCGTCCGGACCAGGGGTCTTCAGTAATTCAGGTCTATCTATTTCCTTAGGAATTGCTGTATCTGCTAAGTATTGTTTTATTTCTTTATTGTTTGGAGGAGCATTAAGATTATACAATTTACTATAAAATTTGTGTATGGACTATTTTTTTTCCGGAAAGGAATATGTAATTTGCTTGTCAACTAGTTTGTTAACCCTGTTTGTTGTGTTATGTTTCTTTAGTCCCTTTAATTTCTTATTGGCTCTATTTCCTTGGTAATAAGTGTCTTAGCTTATTGTTTATTTTTTATTTTTTTTCTTCTGTTTTTATGTTTGCTTTTGAAGTTCTAATAACTTTGCCCTGTGTTGGGACAATGGATTATCTTTATTAGAAACATTAAAATATTGTATATTTAGATCAGTTAGATCTTTGGTTAGGATGTTTTTAGCTTTCTTTTCTATTTTAATAAGATATCCTCTAATAACTGCTTTGTAAGTGGCCCATAGAATAGATATAGATATCAGGATTAGAGTTTGAGCCAAAAGAGTCTAGATAACTAAATTATGGAGTCCTGGTTTGTTTTAACTTTGAAAAGAGACTCCTCTATTCTCCACGTACTAGTAGATTTCTGTAATGATTTACCTATTTACCTATTTGTAAAATCAGACCATGTGTTTTCTTTGATTTGGATTAGTTCAATTTCTTTAAGAGTGTTAGCTTTGACTAAACATAAGTCTATTCGTGAATACGAATTATGAACTTTGGACAAGTGTGTAAAGTCAGATATATCAGGATGAAACACTCGCCAGCCATCAAACAGCCCATGTGTAACACATAACGGTCAATATCTTAGATTGCTTACACACTTGCCTGTCTGATTTCAGCTGGTTATGAGATTTCTTATCAATATTAGGATCAAAAACACAATTAAAATCTCCTGCAATTATTAAGGTACCTATAGTTATATTTGCTAATCTATTCATGATATTGGGGAACAGTGCAGTTGGGTTAAGATTTGGCAAGTAAATATTGACCAAAGTTGTATATCTTAGTCTCAATTGTGCATATAATTATGAGAAATCTACCACTGGGATCTCTATCAATTAATTTTAAATCATGTTTTATGTTTGAATTGAGAATAATCGCTACTCCGCGCTTCTTATCATTATTGAGGGATGCTTGATATATATATTTATATTTTTCTCCTCCCCATTTTTGTGGTTCAGATTTCAGCCAACGGGTTTCTTGCAGAAAGGCTATTTGTATCCCATTAGATATCAGAGTATCATAAAATATTTGTTTTTTCCATCTTGTATTTAGCTCCTGTGCATTAATGGACATGAGTTTTAGCATCTAAATTGTTGGGTTTTGTTAAGACTTGCGGTATTATAACCTATAAATAATGTGATCAGGTAACTGGAGTTAAGATCAGCCATTGTCAATTTTGCTGTATAATGTTGACTAACACGACTAACACTACAAACACTATAAAAGGAAACAAGAGAAATTAATACAAAAAAAAAAACAAACATAAGATGAAACATCACAATTTCATCAACAAGTAACAAATTATGTCCCCATGATCTAGAAGCCATGGGTTCCTCAGTCTTCCAAAAATAGAAAGGAAAGATTAGGAATAACTGTGAATATTCACAGAAAGAGGGGTTGGGTCTAGAGTCCCAGGGACTTGGCGAGACAATGTATTTGATTTAATGAGAGTCGAGAATGGAGAGAGAAAAACAACAAAAAAAACAACACAGGGTAGTGTACTAGTGTATTGCCACAATAACATTAGTATAACATTATATTTGAAGTTGCCAAACCTATTATATAGAAATTTGTCAATTTCTTATATCATCCTTGTGCTAGTTGTGAGATTAATAAATTTAATTATACTGTACTTCAGCCTAGTATTTACACAGGTTTAGTGTGTTAAATTTAATGTGTCAATTTATAACTGTGCTCAATAAATATCAATATTTTGGCGGCGCTCTATAAATATCATAATAATAATAATATAAATTTTGTAGGAATACCAACAACCTCCGTATTATCATTAAATTTTATAACAGTGATTATTCCCCAGCAGGGGAGATAAAATTATATGTACATTCATTCAGAATAAACAAAAAAAATAAAAAAAATTATTTACAACTATATACAACAGTAATATAGGCATTCTTGTTGACTAAGTGAATAGGTAATACTTTAAGACAGGGGTTCTCAACCCAGTCCTCAGGACCCCCTACCAGTCCAGGATTTGGGGATTACCTGGGTGTGTCTCAGGTGTTTAGAAAAAGGGTAAAAAACACCTTAGACTCTAAGGTGTTTTTTTTTCTAAACACCTTAGACACACCCAGGTAATCCCTAAACCCTGGACTGGTAGGGGGTCCTGAGGACTAACGTTGAGAACCCCTGCTTTAAGATTATATATGCCCAATTCAAACTTTCATATAGGAATACCTCCATTTGCTATTTCAACCTCATGCTAATTGTGCTAATAAGGAAAAACTTTATGGTAAACTACCATGAATATTCAATAAATTGTATTTAAGTGCGAGAGAAAAAAAACAAAAACAGAACCCGCCCATAACAATATTAATATTAATAAGTTCCGTTAAAGAGGAGACTAATGCAAGGATTTAGTCTTCAGCCAAGCCTTAAGCTTGTCTGGGTCATCAAAAGTCTCAATGTTGCCGTCCATATGTATTACCATCTTCGTGGGAAATCCAAATCTAATGTTATGTCTCTTGAGAGTATTGATTTTTGGTATAAACATTCTTCTTTTACTTCTGGTGTTAAAGGATAAATCAGGTAAAGCTATTATTTTTGAATATGGCCCGTCCTTGATAGTTTTTTCCCTGCTAGCTTTTAGTACTTTCTCTTAAAAATCATATGAATGAAAACAAGTAATTATATCTCTAGGAATTTCAGAGGCTATGTTTGAAGGTTTGTTTATCCTGTGACATCTATACATTTTTTCATTATATCCATTTAAATTCAAACCTAAGGCTTGAAAATAGTCATATAGCATTTTTTTGTAGATTTTCTTGCTTATTTGTTTCAGTGAAGTTTTGGAATCTAAGATTATTCCTGCGAGATCTATCTTCAAGATCTTCTATTTTTTTTTCAAGATTATGAATTTTTGATGTCAGAGATTTTACTTCTTCATTTAGAGTTACGATCTGAAAGTCCGTAATTGATACACGATCTTCCATAGCCTGAAATTTATCTGTTAACTTAGCTAGTTCGCTTCTAATTTCATTTCGCATTTCTGTAGAGTTTGTTAGGATTTCCTTCTTTATTTCTTCTAATATAGCTTGTAAGCATGTATTTAAAATTTTGGTGGTAACTTCTTCATTATCCTTACTAGTTTCCATAATAGAAGGATCAGAAATTGATACTGAAAGACTAGATGTATTACCTTTTTCCTTAGCTTGCGGAGAGAAATATACAGCTAGGTTTTTATCTTGTTTTGTCTCTTTTGTCTCGTTTAATTGATGATTTTGAGTCTGAGCCTATTTTTTTTGGTAGCCATTTAGGATTATGAAAGGGAGATGAAAATAGTGTGAGAACAGTGTGGGGGTTGGGGAATTTTATGTTATGGTATAATACTAGAGAATATTGGAGTTTAATATCTTTCAGGTTCTATCTTTATCTTTAGTCTC